AGAGCAAATTCCGTCCGCATCGAATATTTAGCATTTTGGACCAAGTTCGTTGTGACCTACTCTCTGCCTCGCTCCCTCAAGTCACTTACTTCTTTTGTACTGTCCGATCACGATGGAAGATCAGATCTGGTAGGATGTGACGACGGAGCAGCATGTGCAAGTAATGCACGGAGGTGAGGTCTGTATATCTGTTCGCAAATTGCCAAACCTTCATGATCCCCTATTCGCCTCCAATAGCGCCTCCTACCTGTTTCATTCCGAAATCACCCTCGTTGGCCCCCCATTCCACAATCCCGTGGTCGGTGGTCGGGAAGATCTGGTTTGGACTCACGTATGTTACGGAACCGATAGATCCATAGTAATGGACTCACAGGGACACCAGCTATGCGCATGGAGATCAATCCTGAGTGCAGTAACAAAGTAATCCATCTTTCAATTAGCATGTACGATGCAACCATTTGACGATTCGCACCAGGTTGTACTGGTTGATACAAGAAGGTCGCAGACCGAACTTCTCATAGGTTCGAACGTGCTCTGGACTAGACTTCGCCCTGCCTACGCCGCATCACCTGCACGTTGCCCAAGTCCACAAGCATCTTGACGGTAATCTTCTCGGAGAGTCCAAGGCTACAGAGGTGATCGTTAATCCATCCGAACCACCTTTGCGATTCTCGTTGATAGAGTTTGGTTCGAGGTTGCATGGAGAAGCGGTGAAAAAATACGCGTTGTAACAGATCAATATGAAAGATGGTCGAAAGGATTAGAAGCAAGCTAGCTGCTTAGCAATTCGGATCGAGGCCTCGGAAAAACGGAGAGATGCATTATAAGAGTAGCCCCAACAATGGCATCAAGGAGATCCAGTGATGAAACATAGTACTTGCCATCAAATGCATAATGATTGCGCTTCGAGCACTTTGTTTCCGTCGAACCCGACTTTATGATCATGTCAACATGGCTTTCGATCGCGTCAGTCACGTGCTGGACACTGTGAAACGCGTCCTGTTGCCGGAGACTGGCAGTATTCCATCTCTCCTTCAGTCTGGTATTGGTGCTCGCTGTATTCACCCTCTCTGGCACCTTACGCTCCCTGTTCGCTCAACCTGCATCGAGACTCTGAGGCATCTCATACAAAGAGACGTCTTGAAGGAGTGATTCTTGTGCATTCATCCCACCGGGCATTACCTGCGTGCCCTTTACTTGAGGGCGTGGCCCTTTAAGTCCTCGTTGTATGGACTTAGCTGTAAAACCGACACGGTGTAACTATGGCACCAGCAGAACCACCCCTTGGTGCACTTGTTGAAGTCCCAGCTGGTCGAGGTTTGGTTCGCTTCTGCGGTGGCACCTCGTTCTCTGCTGGGAGATGGGTTGGTATTGAGCTTTCGGAAGCCAACGGGAAGAACGACGGAACAGTGCAAGGTATCAAATACTTCACTTGCAAGCCGAACTACGGTGTGTTTGTGCGGCCCAGTCAGGTGAAGACAATCTCACTGGAGCCCCAGCCTGTACTTGCCGTCAGTCCCCGTTAACCTGTTACGCGAGACTGTCTTAATTGTAGTAACCCAGCCGGCTCCATCTCTGCGGCCCGCCCTTGGCCACCACAGGACAGGTAGCACAGGCTTAGCCCGTGGCCCTTCTGTTCGCACAGTGCCTTCGTCGCCTGGCCGCACGGCTCCCTCCTCTCCTCGTGCAAGCAGTCCTGCGAAGCCTTCTACAAACGGGAGTTCATTCACATCGCCCCGTTCGAACCGGCTTGGCTCGCCATCTAAGCGAACACCGTCGCTATCATTGCAGTCCAGAAGCTCCCTCTCCCGTGCGCCTTCTCTGCAGAAAGATCCTTCCAGTCCGACTGTAGCACGGCAGAGAAGCTTCGACGCACCCAGCCAAGATACACCCTCGAAGCCCTTTCCCAAGAATAGTGTCCCTCCACCATTGTCCGCCCCGGTACCCCCAGTAACTCATCAAACCACCCAGCCATCTACATTGCGACGGGTTTCAGAACCATTGCGGGATCCGGAGCCTGAACTTGAACCCGAGCCTTCGTCTCCAATTGTTTCGCAGGAGCCTTCACGACCAAGTACACCCGTGGTAGGTTGCCCGACTCCACCGAGTACTGTCTCTGACGACATCTCAGCGCACACAAGACGACCAGGAGGTACAGGAGCTCCGTGCCAAAATACGTGTACTTGAAGCAAAGCGTGCGGATGATGCTCGTCATGTCCGAGAGCTTGAGACGCGTCTTTCCGAAGCGGAATCATTTGTTGCGCTGCGTCCGAAGCTCCAGGCGAAGCTAAGCTCACAGCAGACAGAGCTGATCACTACCCGACGTGAGCTAGCTGACGCGCAGCAGCTTGCTCAGATGGCCGAAAGCCGTATTGTCGATGCGCAGGAACAGCTTGAGATGGCCATGTTAGACAAAGAAATGGCCGAAGAACGCGCGGAAATGGCGGAAGCGGAGCTGGAAGAAGTCAAGGAGAATTTGGCCATCGTTGAAGTTGAGCTACAAGTACTCAAGGAAGGAGGAGGTAAGTATACCATGTACATGATGTGGCACAGGACTAATGTTCTCACGCAGAGAGAGCCGAAGAAGTCACTGAAACCCCGGTAAAGCAGTCGTTGGCTTACATCCAACTTGAGAAACAGAACGAACGGCTGAAGGAGGCACTCATTCGGTATGCGTGTTGTAGAGTTCCGCCGCTTAGCCTCCTACTGAATGATTCACTTCTGGCTAGTCTACGTGACATCTCGCAAGAGACGGAGCAAGAGCAAAGAAGGCGTATTGCTGAGATGGAGAAAGATGTGACCAACCTCGATGAGCTCCAGGGTAAGTACGCCCATGCGCTCGACCAAATGGCGAACCCTAACACGTCTTTAGCTCAATATGAGGAGGCACTCTACAAGCTGACCAATGCTGAAATACAAGTCGAAGAACTGAAGGCGCAGCTCGACGATGCACTGGGTGCCGAAGAGATGCTCGTCCAATTGACAGAGCGTAATCTGATGCTTGGCGAGGTAGGTGATCTGCTACAATGTACAGTATCCGAAGGAATCGCAAGCCAACTCATATCCTGCATCCCGTAGAAAATCGAGGAGATGCGGATCACAATTGAAGACCTCGAGGCTTTGAAGGAACTCAACGACGAGCTTGAAGAGAATCATATGGAGACAGAGAAGACAATGCAGGAAGATCTTGGTCAGACACCTCATTTGCATTGCTTCTGCGAGATTTGCTAATGCGTGGAGTCAATATTAGATGCGAGGGATGCTCAAATCCGTGAACAGGCTTCTAAGATCAATGCGCTCGAAGAGGCGTGTCAAGATCTCGAGAGCACCATTATGCAGTTCAGGGAGCTCGTTCTGCAGCTGCAAACGTAGGTCATATCCAATGATCGACGAGCCACTGTTTGCTCATTCTAATTTTAGCGAACTCGACTCGCTTCGCGCGGAAACCCAGACGGCACAACATGAGTCGGCGACCGCTGCTTCCCAGACCGCTGCCATGATGTCTCTGAACCTGAAGCTCCAGTCTTCTGCGTCCAAGAACCAGGCTCGGTATATCGATCTTGAGGTCAAAAAGATTGAGGCAAGGGAAGCTCGTGAACTGCTCAACATCATCCAGGTACGTCCAGTCCGACGTTTCCAAATATCTGTACATTGTCCTGATATGTTTTGTTATTCACCCATGTAGCCATATTTGCCTCAAGTCTACGTCGAGTCGGACATGGATGCTACGAACTGCTATTTATTATTCCAACGTCTGGCGCTCAAAGTCGATCTCGTCAATACCGTCGTTGCTCAGACGCACAACCTACCGGATTCTCTCAGTGGTCCAGTCTCAGACGTGATGGTTGGAGTTTGCGAGGTATGCATTCCTGGACTTTATGATCAGTGTTCTGCATTGTTGATGGTCCTTGACTACAGATGAGAGGTCGCTTGTCCAGTCTGTCTACGACGTGTAGACGCTTTGCTGCTATTCTCCGCAAATGCGATGTAGAATCGTTCCTTAATATCGGTCGTATCTACCCGGAGATCGCTCCCATGGAGAAGCGTATTGATATGCATATTGATCTATTACGGCGCGAGGAATTCCGTGAGCTGGAGTGTGTCAATGATGCCTTGAAGTAAGTCACTACAGAAACTCTCGGTAGATCAGTCTTAACCATGTCTGCCACAGGATGCAGTCGCAGTTCGACCATCTTGCCGAGACGTACTTCAACGAGTACGAGTTCGATCTAGGGGAGCGTGAGCTCGGACTTGCGTTGGCAATCGACCATGATCTCGATACGTTTGCTGCGTCGATCGGACTCATCAAGACTGCTGTTTCTGCGATCATGAAGGATGAGGGTAACCCATTCCACGTATGTCTTTAATCCTAGGTGCTCACGACCATGTAGATGTCGACTTGGAAACGGGAGATGTAGACACTGAAGCAGAGTTCTTTGCTCCGCTTCAACGTCTCCTAGATCAATGCCGAAGCGCCAAGGTGTTATCGAGGCAAGTCGATTGTTAGTTTTGCAGAATCGGACCATAATCTGACAGTCTCCGCAGGAAACTCACGAAACGCCTTGATGATCTCACGCAGGATTCCGCTGCGCTGAAGGTGCATTTGGTTCCCCAGCTTCAAGCCCTCAACAACATAGTGCCAGAACTGTTGAACTTCGGTATTTCGGTGAGTCCATACGTTCACCAGCTTGGCACTTCTTCACGTCGTTCACTGGGCGTTCCCAGCTTGCGGGACGGAACGTTATGCCCTACCTCAACGATGTACGGAGCGCCAAAGCTCCGTTCAAGCTGTCAACCGTACTGTCCTACGTGAAGGAGACCGCTGCGTCCACTGTCGGGAAGGACCGTAAAGATGATATCGCCTCATGGGAAAGTGTTTCAGAGTTCTTCAACCAAGTGATGAAGGACGCAGGTGCACTCCTTCCTCTAGTCTTGGAAACCGAGAACATTGTGAAGAGTGAGTTTAGTTTCCGTTTCTGAGCCAGGTGAATGCTAACTGGCTGCAGTCTCCGGGACAGCTCCTTGGGTGCTTCGCATCGAGGACATCAAGGCTGCCACCGCCATCAATGTGGAGGCCGAGCGGAAAGTCGCTCAACTGAACGATGAGATGCAGGCTCTCGTACGGACGCTCAAGTCGAAGGACCAGCACATCCAGGAATCGTCTGTGAAGATTGAGCTCATGGATCGCCGCATGGAGGCAGTCAAGAAGCAGGCTGACACCATCATCGACCTCGAGAATGAGCTCAACAAAGCACGTAAGCAGGAGCGGGCGTATGAGGAAGCGATGGAGCAGCTGCAAGCAGATCTCGATTCTCTGGAACAAGACAATGCCAAGCTGAAGACAATGGCTAACAACGCTGAGCGACAACGTATGTGCCACGTCCGCTCAACAGGATACACGAGGCTGACGTTGCCGTAGCATCCGCAGCACAACCTGTCGAGCCTGAAAGCGTGCCCATCGAGGGTAGTTTGGAGACATCGTATCTACTGGAACAGGTGTGGATCCATATCGACGCGATTCTCGCTTGTACCTGACCTCGCGACAGATCGACGCCCTCCGTGGTACAGTGCGCTTCCTCCGTACCGAGAACTCATACCTCAGAGGCCAAGATCTCCTCAAAGAGATCGAATCCTTGCCGCCACTCCCTGCGCCCATCACCCGCGAACCCACGCCGGAGCTCGTGTCCTCCAGCCTCTCCGACTCTGACTCTGACTCGGATGACCTATCCTCACCGCCGACGTTGCGGACCCTCTCGGCAGAGTCCAAGTTGCTCTACCGCGAGGTGATCAAGTACACGTGCTCGCCACGCGTCGTCGACCTGTCGGCCGTGCGCGCGAGACGCGCGGAGGACGGGGAGAAGGGCGTGCGGCCGTGGATACCCAAGAAGAAGACACCCGCGTACCACGTATGGGAGCGCAAGATGCAGGGCGAGCGCCTCGGGAAGAAGCTGCATGGGCTGCTTGAACGGACTAGTGCTCTGGCCGCCTCACGGTGAGGAAGGGCCCTGCGGCCGACGAGGTTCTTTTCTGGTGCATGAATACCCTACGTAGTCATTTATTGATATACCCATGTCACGCATATATGCCGGAATTCACGTATGCTCTATGCAGCTTAGCTAGACCGATTGCGTCTGCATGGTCTTGTCGCGCTCAATTGTCAGATGCTACAAAGCACGTCGTAAGGTAGGCATCGTTCTGAACGTTCGCGATAAGATTACACCGAGACAAGAGACCACTTGGAAGAGAAGGAGCTACAGTAGGGAATACACGATACCAATCGTTCGCAATGTATATATAGGGTTATTGGGAACAGCGTCAAGCGTAACAATTGCCGGTCACCGCAAAACCTCAGGAGTCGTCCGAAGACGTCCTCGCCCTCTTCGTGACGATGTCACTGTTCTCGTCGACTTCGCCGTAGTCGCCTTCGAGCTCGCCGCTCTCTGTGACCCGAGCGGCAGGCTGTTCTTCGTCGTCCTCGTCATCTCGGCTCCGCTTCGTGCCTGCGATAGAGATGGTGGGACTAGTCTCCCCTTCCGGGTCAAATTCCTCGTCGTCTTCTCCATTCGCGTCATCTGCATTGTTCTGCTAAGGGGACGTTTGATTAGTATAACGACTACTGCGGATGTCGGGACATCACTCACTCCAGGGAGCAACAAGGCTGTCAGACTGGCTTTCCCGCTGCCGCTCTGTGGGAGAAATCTTCAGTGTTTTGGTCATTGGTTGAACACGAATAACGACCCACAGGTCCAGCTGGGTTCTCAGCTTCCTCATCCTCCTCATCCTCTTCTTCCTCTTCCTCTTCCTCGCCAAAGCCTTGCTCCTCCTAAACACGCAACAAGGTGAAAGAGTGCGTTGAGCCTGGTACATTTTACGGCCTCTAGACCGTCTTCCACTTACCCCTGACGAGTCCTCTACCTCGTATTCGTCGCTTTCCTCCTCCTCTTCCTCTGGGGACCAAGTTTGAGTTGTCACCTTGAATATTTCTCAACATGCTGCCCGTCTTACCGTTCACGTCCACCTTGGGATCGGCGGCCGGCGCAGGTGCTTCCTGTGGCATGACCGATGGTGGGGCGTCGACGAGTTGACTACGCACGTGTGGTTGCTAGCGGGGGGGCGGGTGCGGGTGCGGGTGAGAGAGAATGGGAAAGGACGTTTATGGCCGTCGGAAAGCCGCGTTCCAATGGGGGCAGTTGGAGGACCCTGGTGTGACTGGTGGTGGAGGCATCAACGAACGTTCAACCTGAGAGATCTGCACGGCGGAGGCGCCGAATGCAAGCACATGAATGGATGGATCGTCTTTCCATATGTCATCGCAAGCAATAGTCCAGCCGCGACTTTGTCTGGATCAAACAGGTGCCCAAATGACTCCATTATTCTATCCTATCCTCAAGAGCAATACAACATCCAATACACAACAAATAAATCAGATGCAATGTCCTCGCCACTGTCCGTCAAACAGGTATGCGTTCCAATCCGTGTCAGCAGCAGCGAACCCTCCACCGTCGTCTCCGCGTTTCTCGATCCTCCTCCAACACGTCGTTCTCCCTGATTACCTTCAAGAACACGCTCTCTAGGGTGGCCCTCTCCACCGTGTACTCAGAGAAGTCCTCCTGAGAAGATAGCACGCCGAAGAGGTGCGCGAGCGACATACCGTTCCCAATGGGAACTTCGAAACGCGTCGCTACATCGTCTGCCATGCGTGACCCGGGTATATGCGCCATGAGCTCCTGGGCGCGAATCACTTCCTCTCGAGTTCGACATGAGAAGTGGACCTCGTAGGTGGCGTAACGCTCGGCGAGCTGATCGGTCGTGCCAACGGCTACAATAAAGAACATCAGCGTTGATCGCAGATGCATTTTATAGACGACGAACCAAGCATCTTCTTTGCGAGGATGCCGACCTTGTTTGCCAATGCAGATGCCTCTTCCATAGAATCTGTTGAGGCGACGGGTTAGCGACATCGCGTCTGCTGTAGTCAGCACAACTTACGAGTGGTTATAACGATTGCCTTCCCTACGGCCACCGTGCGGAGCGTCCCCCACATGTCACGCTTCATCTTCGCATCAATACCAGTGGAGAACTCGTCGATGAGGACGACCGAGGGATTGCCTATATTGTACATACGTGAGTCATGCTTAAACAAGTAAAAAAATGATAGACCTACCGATGAGCGCAATCGCTAATGCCAGCTTTCGCTGGTTACCTCCAGACAACCTGATGGCTAAGCGATCTGCGTATATGTCCAGAGAGGTCGCGCGCATGAGGGCTTTGACGTTGCGATCCAACTCTTCTCCGCGGTACAAACCCTTCAGACGTCCGTAGATGATGAGATGCTCCTCCACAGTCAACTCGGAGTCAATCGCAGTGAATTGCGGGCAGACACCCAACGATAGACGGGCCGAGCGTGGATGGTTCACGATCGAGACGCCATTGATGAGTACGTCGCCCTCGTCCGGGATGACGTCTCCACCTGAGAATCTATGAGGTGGATGCGCAGCAGGGGGCAAGGATATACATACGGATCATGTTGAACGTGGTTGTCTTTCCAGCACCGTTCGGACCTAGGAGGGCGAACATGGTGTCCTTGCCTACGCCGAAGCTTACGTTGTCAACGACCCTATTGTCCGGACTGCCGTACGCCTTGACAACATTGAGCACGCGCAGTGCATCGTCCGAGCCCGCTACCGCTGCAGCCTCATCATCGATGTCCTGTCGCCCTACACGGCCTGGGGCAGAGGCACCATCCTTGTTAGTGGGGGCGGATCGTTTGCGCGGTGCGATTCTGCGAGGCAGGATGGAGCCGGAGTCCACCCAGACAAGGATGCCGAAGAGAACGAATGCGTAGACGATGAGGTAGAGAATGGGGCCGCCGTACCGCGTCAGTTTACCCATTGAGGACGTGGTTGCAGGGAGATCACCGTCGCACAGCAAGGAGAAAAGATTAACAGACACAAATGATGCTTGGAGCTAGAAATCGTGGTTATTGAATATCGTAAAGTACGAAGGTCGTAGTTCAAGATACTTACTGCATTGGCAACAGGAGATGCAATCGACATTGTAAAATCTGTTCGATGTAGGTCGGTCAACTGTAAAGCGGTTGGGATGAAAGAAACGCACGGATGAGTGTAAGGTCGTAGTTGTCGGCGGCAGTCTTCGCATAAGTGAGAGTGAGGAGGAAGGCAGCTAGGTAGAGCTATAGGAGGGAAATACATTGAATTCCGGTCGAACAATGAACAAGGCGGAGACTTACAATGTACATGATCACCTGGTACCCTGCAGACGCTGCAAATGCGGCCAAGGGCGAGGTGACCACTAATGAAACACAGTACGAGAACAAGGCGCCAACGATTCCATATAGGACCAGGACCACCCACTGAGACGCGGTGAGATATAATTCTCATCAAGTGTGTTCCCAGAAGCGACTTACGAAGAATCCAAGACCCGTGAATTGGTTAGAGGCAGCTGCAAATACGATGATTATGATGCTCGCGCTGATCACGGAGAACACCGAGTCAAACATGAGGTGCCCAAGCCAAAGTCCGACGGTGTTAGATAGCCCATTCGACAACTGCATGGCCTGCACGGATGACCGACGTTCTTTCGAGACGTAGAGGGAGAAGAATGCGGGAAACACAGCCTAAACTCATAAGTCAGTTCAGCCATTTATGAGTAGCGGATATACGTACCATCGCAGCTCCATAAAATGCCAGCCATTTAAGGGCGACAAGAGTGCCAGCATCAAATCCAGGGAAGTCCTGGTAGTTTGCTGCGATTAGCTGAGGCACACCGGTGCTTTTCCCTGACGAGTTGAGGGCATGATTGTACAACAGGTTAGATGCCAAGTTCAGCATCACTAGCCCTGTCAAGCCGGGCGGAGTCGCTTCCCATGCCACTAGCGCTTGGCCGGATTGCAGGTCTAGTGATACGCCTCCAAGAGACAGGTTCTGGAAGTTTTGGCTAATGGTGTTAACGAAAGTGGCATTGTCGGCAATGTTCTCCACAGGAACAGCGCTGACAGTTGACCCAAGCGAAGAGATGATACCGGGCGGCGACTCCAGAACTTGAGTACCGGGCGTAGTCTCGTTCACGCCTGCCAGGATGACAGGAGAATATGGCAAGTAGATCGGAACGCTACTTGTCTGCTGGAAGGTTTGCACACAGGTTTGACGTGCACGTCCAGCGATGAAAAACAGAGGAACGCAGGAACCTGCTACTGCGACAAGCACTGCCAAAAAGGGCGTAAGCCAACTTCTCCGCGCGATGAGAGCTCGTTTGTGGAATATCGTGAATGCCTGTCCGAGAGGGGACCTCCTTCGGCCGCTGGTCAGCTCCAGTGTCGGAGCGCTGCCATGTGAGAGTACAGGTAGCAGTGTCGAGCCAGCAGACTTCCTGTCAGCTTTCTCCGAGTCGGCGTCTTGGTTGCTGTGCATGAGGCCCAGGAAGATGTCCTCGATGGACGTGCTGAGCACGGAGTAGGACGCAAGTCTGCTAGCTTTACGTTCCAACTCCATGACCTCGAGCACTTTGTGCACGGCCGCAGGGTCCTTGGCCTTCAAATGGTAGGATGCCTCATTGGGCCCAGATGAAGTCACATACGTTGACGGCGCCAATGGGCGAACTCGATCAAGAAGTTCCGAAGGCTCGTTGCCAGCTTTTTCGCCAACTTGATTCCCGGAAAAAGACACTTGTACCGTGTAGCCTTCACCAAGGCTGGACTTGAGCGCTACTGGGGTGCCTTGCGCAACCAGTTTTCCAGGAGCTGCAAGCACAGCAATTGTGTCCGCGAGTAGGTCCGCTTCGTCGAGGAACTGCAGCCGATAGTCAGCAAGTCAGATTCGATGTGCATCTGTAGCGGCAAACGTACGTGTGTAGTGAATACAACTGTTCTGTCGTGCCGCACAGAAGTCAACGTTCTCCACAGTGCACGCCGAGATAGCGGGTCTACGCCGGATGTGCACTATAGGGACTCAGAGAAGAGTGTGGAATAGAGCTCATGAAACATACCTCGTCAACCAGGAGTACTACAGTATGTAACAATTAGCATAGGCCGCATTTTATATCAGTGAGGACGCACTCTTGGAACCTCCGACCAACCCGACCGCCAACTGCAGCTTCCTTTTCTGCCCACCACTCAGCGCGTTCGCATTATAATGGATCTTCTTTCCCAAATCGCAGTCCTTTAGTAATTGTTCGATGTCCTCTTCTTCTGCGGAGTCATTAAGCGGTTTGATCGCGCGCCATACGCGCAGCGTCTGGTAGCACGTCAGCTCGGGGAAGAGCACGTTCTTCTGTGGTACAAGTCCGATCGATCCCAGTGGTGGCCGCTCGACGCCACCCTCGAACAGGACGGAGCCGCGTGTGCGGCCCAACAGACCGGCGAGAATGGACATCGTTGTGGACTTCCCAGCACTAACAGGAGCAGTGAATGAATACATGCGCCGATAACGTATGGCTAGCAATCTACTCACCCGTTTGACCCGAGCAAGACGTAAATTCCCGTCTTCGGTATGTCGAGACTGAGGTCGGCTACCGCGGTGACAAGCCCCTTGTCGCGCTTGAACATCGATGTTTGGAAGTCCTTTCCGAGATTGCGTATCGAGATCGCGGTACCCGGAGACAGCGGCACCGTGCTGTCCTCCGTCGACGACCGCCGCTTCCGCCAGAAGCGCCATGAAGAAGTTGAAGGATTCTGAGCATCGTACAGTCGCCTCTCCAGGAGTATGCCCATGTAGGGCCATAAGAAAATGTCAATCTGTAAAGGGCTTCAGCAATTGACTCTTGAAGCCGGCAAGGGCAATCGCTTACAATAGCGGCAAATATGAGCGGCAGCAGAATTAGATTGTTATCGGGATCCGGCTTGAGTACATTAGTAGCGATCTGGTGAGCCTCGAAGCCGCAAACCGCTCTGATGGCGAATATGTAGAACCCTGGTGGGAAGAAGATGGAGAAGAAGAAGGCTGCGCCTGTGCTTGCATGTGTGTCGACCAGCGCCAGGATTGCGAACACGATTGAAAGTACAGTCGATGCGATTGCGGCTAGCTGCGGGCTCTTCCCAAACGGCGCGGACACGAAGAACGACCAACTTGCCAGCGTTAGGCCCAGAAGGAGATGGATGACAAGGACGAGCCCGGCGTTCGTCGCAGTGAAGATGCGATAGTGCCAGATGAGCGAGACGATGATCCAAGCTGGGAGGTACACGAGCGAGATGCTGACGTGCCACGAGATAATACGTGCCGAGTCCATTAGGCCCATCGCCTTCAAGTGCGCTGTGAGGAGGTTGGCGCGCTCACCGGTGAACGCACCGGGTAGCTGATAGGCGATGCCGACGTAGCATACAAATAGAGCTAGGACCAGTAAAGTACGCAGGCCGCGGATGTAACTTAGACGAATGTCGGTAGACTGCTCAGTGTTGGTCTCCTGGGTGAATGGCCATTCTAGAGGTGTTGCGGGAGCTACACCGGTGGTGAGTTCGATTATAGCGCTGTCGACGGCCCACTGCAAAGGTAGGACGCGCTCCTCGTAGCTGCTGGTATGTTTAGCCACGTTAATGTAGTACAATCCACCATCGGCTCGGAGAGTATAATTGATCGGCTGCAGGGCCACTTCGCTGTCGTCATTAGCGATGGGCAAAGAGTTGAAGACAACGGCAGCATAGCACTCCGAAAACCCATTGAAGTTCTCGGGACACAGAGGTGGGATATCGTCGGGAGAGGCGGCCTTCTTGACGTTGCCGAGCTGCTTGGACGAGAACTCGCGCGTTATATGCGAGATGATGTCCTGCGCGGATGGGCTCCCGGTACCATTCGTAGCGTCTGCCCAGACCAACGCCATAGAACCATCATACTGGTCTATAAGACTCGGCACTGGAATGGCAGTACCCAAGCCATACTAGACAATTGTCAACGGAGACACGAGTGAACAGAAAGTAAAGCCATACATTATTGGGCTTAGTGAGGAATAGTTGCGCGACGGCGAGGAAGATGCCATATCCGATGGGAAGCAGAACGCATCTCACAATGTTGAGCTAGGTTCTGTATCAAACATCGGTCCCAGAAGATGCAAAAGATAGGCTCACCCAGGGATGCTTCAATAACACTATCCAGTTCTTCCATACGAGTGCCGCAAACTGCCTCCAGAAGAGCTTCAAATTCGCGCCCATCCTCGCACCTGTGGGCGGGTTAGCAAAGTCGCGAGGTATAAATGCGGCAGAGGGCGCGCAGTACCCAGCTGCGATCAGGGCCTAGTGGGTAGTGGCAATCCGAAAGATGACCAACCTTACTGCCACGAAGTTATATCGAGACCGCAGCGCCGGGGATACAAAGACCGCTTGTAGGGGGACCGCGCGGGAGCTTTTTATGTTCCGGCTACCTGTCCGGAGTGTCTGGAGTTTGACATGCACCCAGTTCGATGGGTATTTAAAGGTTGTACGCCTTTAGTACCCGAGTTCCCCAGTGTGTCCGCCGTCGTCCCCGGGTGGAAGGGGAATGGCACGAGCAGTACACGTTGTGAGAAGGGTGTATCAGAGTCGTGGATGAGATATGACACAACCGATCTCACACACGCCTTCAAAATCCGAGATGTTACCGAGGCGCTCGAGCCCTTCCGCACGATCGATCACTACAAATAACGCGTAAACAACGCGTCCCTGACTGCCCCTTGTGGCGTTTTAGCAGGCTCAGGTCTTGGCCATCACTCAAATAACTCACAACTTACACGTCGCATATCACTAGCTATCATGCACGCATCCACTTCCGCCAAGGTACGCCGTTCTCTGATCGGATCGCTAAGGGCCGACATACCGGTCCTCGCATAGAAACAAGAAGCGCGGATCGCCGCGTTGCAGGAGGAAATCGAGGACCTCCAGAAGACGCTTGGGTGGGACAATGCGCTAGCAGTTTCTGATGCCCGCAAAAATTAAATGCCCACACATATAGGGAGGGAGAAGACGCAGCCAAGATAGTTTCCAGGCATATCACGCTCTTGCACCAATACAACGAGGCCAAGGACGCCGCACAGGTTCGTTTCCCCTTGGGCGTGAACGGGACGAGTGAATAAAGTAAATATTCACACACTCTGTCTATAGATTCTCATTGGCAGGGTATGAGCCACGTCTACTGTTCGTCGATCCATGACAGCACACTTCCTTCACAGTTGGCGACAAACCGCCAGATGACAATCCGGCAAGTCCACGAAGATTACGGATTGACCGATCGCGACTGACCTGTCTCGATACGAAACATGTCGCATACATGCACTCTTTCTGGACTGTCTGATGCAATGCCAGCGGAGCACTATTACCCGGTTGCTTCTCAACAGACATTGAGAAGACAGTGCATATAGCCTGGATCTGCCGGTTACCTGCAACGAAGTGTCTTTCGAGAGCCAAACTTTACCACCGCGTGTATGCCGCTTTCACTGTCGGTCGAAGGCTGAGGGCAAGAGACACGTACGTCTCACACATCAGACGATGCGTCTCAGTTCAGTGCGTGTGGCGGCGGAACGTCTCGCCAGCACCGATATCACGTTGGGAAACAAGCAGTGAAGTAGGACGCGTGACAGGCATATATGAGGTACATACTACGCATACTACGCCTCAACTACGACGTCCTCGAAGGCCATGCTCTCATCGTCGATGTTTCCAAGAACTTCTTCCGCATAATCGCTCGGACCTGGAGTTCTGCTCTGTTTTCTCACCGCAGCTGGCGAATCAGGCGTTTCAGTTGGTTGACCTGTGTCCAGCTGACTGGACCGCAGGGGCGTTGGTGCCCTGATAACGGGCGTTGGTCCAGAAAAGTCCTTGCCCGTCATACGAGACAACGTCGCGATGTCTGCAGAAAGCCCAGACCTATAAGGCCAATCACATGGATGGGAATTCGACTGAACGCACCGAATGGTCTGCGGTTTGTCAGACAGTATGTAATCCTGGCAGGGCTCTTCTTGTCTTCCGCCTTAAACTTGTTTTTGCACGCTTTGCGATCCCGTCCTGGCAGTATGTACGAAATGAGTTCGTAGTTCTCGCCGAATTGCGACAATGCCTAGAACAGAACCATGAGAACGTGCTCAGCAGATGCTGATCGAACAAGACTCTCACATCGTAGAACAGCTCCGTCTCCTCCGCACTCCACCGAGATCCCCGCGCCTTCTTGCTGTACGACTGCGAATTCACGAACTTCGTCGTGTCCGACTCTTCTACATGCGTATAGTTCTCCGTCTCGTCTTCCTCATTTCTACTGACGAAAAGCGACTCCTCGTCGATGATGGTCTCCCCATTGGCACCAATTCTGACCTGAACGTTGTATCGACTGGTGGAAAAGTCATTTGAATAATCAAAGTTATCATCGCCCCGGGGCTCGTGAGCTGGCCGATTGTCCGTCCGGGTAGAGGGGCCACCGACGGGTTCCTCGCTTTCAACATGATCAGCATGCGTCTGCTCAGGATTCGCGGTTGCGTCTCGATTTGCCCCGCTGGCCGGCTGTTCTTCATCGTCAGGATTACGCCCGTACTTCTTCGCCTCTATGATCGCCTTCAGGCGTGTACGCTTCTCCCTGTTAGCCGCACGCCACGCAGCGTGGTTGCTCACAATTTGCGCCGCTTTGCTGCTCACACGCCCCTGACCAGAGTCTTCACAGAGCGCGGACATGGTCACGACGGTGGGATCCAGCTCTTCGCCGGGCTCCACGCTAGGATCGAATGGAGGTGGCGATGGCACTCGCTTGCGTGACTTCCGTGGTGTGTTTGGGTCCCTTGGCTTCCGTTTACGTTTTGAGCCTTCAGCAGCACTATCCTCGTCCCCATGGGACTGGTCGCCAGAAGCACGCCGAGAGTGTTTCCTTGTTGGCTTAACAGCAGAGGGATCGGTCGAGTCAGTTGCAGTGGCCGCACGTCCGCGTTTCCTCTTTGATGACTGCTCTTGGCTGGGATGTATTTCCGTGCCTGCTGTCAGTCCACCTTCCATACCTGGTAAAGGGACGCCATACGCTATTGACGGGTCGAAAAAGGCGGGGGGAGGCAGCATCTCCGAGTGTGCAGTCTGCGCTATTGGCGTAACTACATATTGTGTGTGGGCTGGTGGGGGGGGATATGAATGAGGCTCAATGTTCGAGGAAGACGCGGGACTAGCATTCTGTTCCTCAGGCACTCTGAGGGACGGATCGATCTGTGAGAAGTCCACGGGTGGTGGAGACTGTGGTGGTCGATTGCCATGTAATGCACGTGGTGCTTGGGCGGGTAGATGAGACAGTCGCGCGGTATCTGCAGGACCTTGGGAGGGATACGCCGGTTGTACACGGGTGGATTCCGTGGATACGGGTCTTGTCTGGCTAACCACGATGGGAACAGCTGGACCCCTAGAGAGTGGCGTGGGAATAGAGATGGGGGTTGGGGCAGTAGGTTGCGATGATGTGGCTGCAATCGTCGGCGGGTGGGCAGAAGGTCGAGTTGGCACGATCACAGCGGGGACAGAACGGTTGGACGGAGCTTCACGGGAAGCTTGTTGTAGAGTTCCGTTTGTCTGGAGTATCACGGGTACACCATTCGGGCGATTCTCCGGTTGGGAAGACGGAAGTCGTGGCTCAGGAGGAGACGAGTCCGAAGTAGCCTGAGCCGGAATGTACGGCGGCGGGGGCATCGACCGTGAAGCATCACGGTCAGGCGCGCTAGTGTATTGCGTCGCAACATGATGCGTCCCAGAGGGCTCTGCAGACGACCGTGCTTCAGAAACCACAGAAGCCTGGCGGGACTCGGAACCTGGACGCGCTCGGGCGCGTGCAACAGGCTTAAAGACCGTGCCGCCCTTCTCTGTAGGAGCGTAAGAGTCCTAGACCGAGGAAAGAGCCACCAGCACTTACGGACGCGCGTCGACATACTCAGAGTATGGCTATAGCAGAGCCGCGGAGCGCACGAGACTTGTGGAAGAGACGGAGCAGCAATCCGCCCCTTTCGCCGGGCGCTTGTGCTCGATCACTTTCTGATTGGCTCCTAACAAGTACTACTTGCCCTCACTTACGAGTTCTTGAACTCAAAACAACATGCAACGACCGGTCGTACAGATTCCAACCGGGCCACGCCCTGACTGGGAACTTGAGGAATCGGATGAGGAATCTGGCCCCCTGAAGAGTGTTGCCGACAGGTGCGTAAACATCAGTTTGACTTTCGAGGTAACTGAGCATAGTTATCATGCAGTCTCGCCTTGCTTGAGTCCCTGAGACAATGTAACTTATACCGGTATACCCCCAAATGTATTCATTGATGTTCTCTCCTAGCTCGTAATAAGTGGCTCTCCGCGACGTTCCCAAAGTTCTCTGCGAAAACTCGCGGAAACAAGGTCCCAGATGTCGTACCTCCGCCTCATACTATTCAAGCCCATGGCAGGTACGAACTCCGTATAGGCCCTCATATCTTTTCAAACACTGCTTTCTACGAAGTCCATTACCTGCCGGAAGCATCCAACCCCGCGCCACCGTATTCGCAGGCCCCTCCCCCGCAGGCATATGGGCCGTACACTACTCCTTACCAGAGCTCTACAAACTACGGCTCGTACTCTCAGACATCATCGACCCATCTGGCAGTGTCTGCTTTGACTGGGCAACCTCATGCTTTACAGAACACCCAGTTGAGTCCAGCAGGCAATGTGATGGTGACACCTGAAATGGCCACACAAGTGCACATGGCCTCAGAGTCTAACCCGGCCCTCAAGGAATTGCTCCATGTTGCGGCCACCGGACGCGCAACGCCCGAGCAAATGAAGAGCCTTGGTTTTCTTATCCAGTCCCTGGGATCTTCCCAACAGCCTGCAGGTATATCGGATGCCTCGGCGCCCCATATCCCTGCAGCATCACAACCTCCTCAACATCGTGTTCGTGACTTTGACGTTGTCATTGAATTTCAAGAGAAGCCGCATGACAGGTGGATCGTTCCCCGTGGGCCAGTGGTATGCGAACGAGCTGACGCGGGCGACAATATCGTGCGCACGCCCCACATTCGCCTTTCCATGCCTGTCCCGTTCCCGAGCACTGCATCGTCAATTGCTAGCAGGGAGACGTCAGAGCCCCTTGAGGAACCGAGTCCCCCGCAAGTGGCGACATTCCGTATATCCCGCGTATCACATGCGCTTTGGACCGTCTTAGTGGCATGGGCAGGCGGCGAACAACACATGGCTGAGAGCCGAGCCGCACTGAAAGAAATTGTCGGTAGCCATGTTGTCTTCGCGACGACGTGCCTAATATTATACATAGATCTCCAAAGCACCCGAGCGAACATACTTACAGTATCGATTACCTGAGGGCCCTCTGTTGGAACAGGTCCAAAGTGTGAGTTTTTCACGCCCTCTTCGTATTTCCTCACTTTACGAAATTGCTTGCGTCTAGGCCGTCGCCCCTCCGTACGGCACAAAGTCAATCGTGCCTGGTACGGACGGTGCAAGAACTAAGCGTAAAGCATCGACACGCAAGGTCTCGATCGCCCCTGCCCTGACCCCTGCACCATCAAAACCGCCTGTGAAGAGGAAGCAATCTATCCAACTGACGCCTACAACCCCATCACGCATCGCATGCCGTGCTTGTGGGCAGACCGACGTGCCTTTGTTAATGGGTGGTAGTATGTCTCCTTGCCATCTATAGTGGTAGAAGGGTCTCATTGGTCTGCACAATCCAGGATATTGTCGAACGTGCATCCAGAGTGGCAGAGCGGTTGACGAGATACCCCAGGTTCCTGCTCGTCAGACTCACGTATTCAGCGCCGCAGCGCAAAGGCCTGGAGTAGAATCCGACAAGATGGCTGCCAGTTCCTCCACCTCTAGCCAATTGACCATTCAAGTGATCGACGCTTATCCCTCCTCAGCAACAGGATCCCAACCAGTGTCTAAGTAGCTGCATTCGATGGATCTCGATTATATGCGCGTGTATATGTATGTGTTACAAGATTTGTATGTATAGATCCGATAATAACAATAGTATGCACGACAGCGAACGTGATGACGACCTGAGACCCTAAGTGAGAATATTTACAGCCCAGCCCAACCACCAAACCCCAACTCCTAGCTGCGCAAAAACGATGCACAGCTCTACCAGCACCGCACACCACTGAATCAAAAGACTAATACTATAGATAGGGAAGACGATCCACCAAAGTCCAGTGTGTGTAATCCATGGCAGGTCCCAATTGAGCGTCAGCTCAACAGCAGCACGAAGCTGCAGAACCGTAGTGCACAGACTGAGAAGAGAGAGACAGCTGAGACCCAGCCAGTGTCGCAGGGATCGCCTAGGGAATTGGGTAACAGGATACCGCTTGGCTTCCCCCGTAAACTCGTTTCGGTACCATGGGATGATGAGAAAATCCTGGATGTCTTCCCCTATCACCTTCCCATAGTTCCGCCAAAACGGCGTCACGGTATCTAGAAGCAGGGTGAGCGCGTCGAGACCCAAATCCCAGAATTGCTGGTAATGATTGCGGTAGCTCTCCTCCAACGCCACGATTTGCGAGAGCTGTGGAAATCAGAAATCAAGAACGTGAATACCCCCAAAGAAGCAATATGTACCTCCGGGTAGATGAGCGAGGTGTGAGCCAAGGTATCATTGTAGTCTTTCTTGACCGTGCGATGAACCTCCTTTACCCTTGCGAGCGTCTCCGCGACGTTGTCAGCTTGAGTTGCGATGCGCTGCTGGTGCCATTCAAGATCCATCAATGACTCCTTCAAAGATGCGATTGGATCATCGAAAACATTCTGCGGTGACGTGTTTGCATCTTCAGGCTGAGAGAGCATAGTCATAGCAAACGCTCCCAGCGTCTCGCGCTGCCGACAGACCCGTTCGTGGATATCTTCCACGGCTCGCCAGCCTGACGTATAGCGGGTCGTACTGGTGACTGCCGAAGGGTCGTGGGAGAAAGCCTCAAGCACATCAGCTGGTATCTTCGGATACGAGATCCCAAGCGCATCGGTGATGCTGGACTGTACGCCATCGTAGTCTCGAATGCTTGCTCCTACCTGCTGGAGTAGATTCCGTATACGATGGTTTTGAGCAGTGGTATCGTCGAGGATCCTGGTGCATCGCGGTTGAGTAAGGGACATGTCTATGGGTTGAATGAGCTTACTGCAATTTACGCTCATATTCCGCACGTTCTTCCTCCTCATCTACGTCAGGCTGAAGGGATTCCGGTGGCGATGGAACGCGTCGAGATGGTAGAGATGTACGGTGTCTACGACGCGGAACAGGACGACGTAAAGGGGGTATGGGAGGTGCTCCGGTTGGTCCCACCGACATGTCAGGTCTGGGAGTACCATCGCCCGCCCCTCCTCCATCTTGCTTGAAGCTTTCAGCAGTAGCTGTGAGGATGTTCTCACTACTCTGCCTGCGCCTCAATTCGGGCTCAGATACAACACGGTCATCATCGGTATTCGTCTCCGGGGATTTCGCTCGCATGCTCGCAGGTTGGCTCCTAGCTTTCTTCCCTGGCGTCTTGACAATGCCATCCTCGGAAAAACTGCGTTCGTGCTCTGATAACGAGTTGCGACTAGACGAAAGCCCATCCTCACTGTCGTACGCGCGACGTCGCAGGCGCCTTGCAAGATTTCGCAGGTGATGGTGGTGATGGTGGTGTCCGCTTTTCGAGGAGGAACCAGCATCGCGATTGAGTTTACCGCTATAAATGGAGCTCGGGGCAGATTCGGTACCTACTGGCAGGGAGTGACGCCAGTACTTTGCAAACCCTTCGCTGCTCGGCCGAGATTCCTCGCCCACGGACTCCTTACCGGATTCAAGATGTGGTTCGAAGGAAACCTGGGCATCGTATGAACGCCGTCGAGTCAACGATGGTTCCAGGAACTGAGGTGACGTATTCCACGACAAAGAACCACTCGAAGGAGATATAGTCTCAGGATATAGACGTGTATTTGGCGAGGAATCAGGTATCGCGTCCTCAGGTATCGTGGCCATCGTCGGATGACTGGAGTGCGTCTTTGCGAATTCTTCGACAGTAAGGGCAGATATGAGCCATGGTGACCGTGCCGACCTATGACCGTGTTTCTCCAGATGTTTCAGCCAAGTCAACGGTTCCGCCTTATCGAGTGAGGCTTTCACTACAGGCTCTTGTTCCTTATACCAGTGGGCAACCTGGAGAAGATTGATGGAGGGCTGGTGAGACAGTAGCATATGATATCTTCGTTGAAGCTGATCACTAGTGATTTCCGCCTTGCGCAATGTATGCCCTTGCACGCTACTTCTAATCCGAGCCAATTTATCTGAGAATATGTGAGGACCGGACACATGCTATGAATCGAGCAAGACGCAACATACCCGCATATATAGTGTCTTGTTTCTCTACGACATTCCGACTCGAAGGCAGAGAGGACCTGTCCTTGTGCTTCCTCTTGGGAAGATGTAAAGGCCATCGCTTCTCCGCCTTCTCATCCTCTGATGTTGAGCCTGTCCAATCGAGCGTGGCACCCCCGTTAGACGAAGAGGGTACAGGATGAAGGGGCATTGTGCCGATTGAGGGGCTGAAATCAACCTCGGTATCATTGCTCACGTCCTCAACATGAGCAAGAGACGGGGCCATCTGAAGGTGAGACCTGACCGGTGAGGAATGTGCAGGAAAAGTGGATCTGTCGCTCCTCAGCTGAGTGTCGCCTTGTATTGAGGACATCCGCGCCGCCTTGAGACGCGCCTCCCGGCGTGTCTTCAGCCGGATTGCACGCTGGACGTCTTCAATAATTCTCGGGTCTAAGATTGGCATTCAGAGACGGTAGATCTTCTCAGTTGCAAATGACATGCCTTCTCGAGCTACAATATAATCAGCGGCGAAGTATATAGAGCTTCTGAGCACTCACATAGGTCGTACTCATCCGAGAATGCAGAGGACAGAGACAAATCGGATGGTCCGTCAGAGAACACGTTGGCCACATCGCGTCTGGGACTCTTCCTACCATGGATCCTCCTCGAGTGCTTGCTGCTGAGAGGTCCGTGGTCCGCAAGGAAAGGATGTCCGCCCAACGCGACCGTATCGGCGGACCTGACCCGGCGACGTACATCGTCCCCGCGACGGTCTGAAGTAAGGGAATTCTTCGCCTGAGCGACAGTCGATCTCCGCACAATGGGAGGCGGGCCTAGCCCTATAAAGTTCGCATCGCGGGAGTCGTCTGCGAGACTAGACCGACTTTCGTCCACAGGGAAACGGATTTGGGTGTGCCTGGAAAGCGAAGTCGGATTGCTTGTAGTCGTAGCTGCGCTCAACGACGAGTACGTGCGGCTGGGAGAAGATGGCCCAGCCTCCGCCATAGGTTACGGGCTCACAGAGGCAAGCAGAAAATAATACTAGTAACGGGTGAGAATAGCATCCATGACCGCGAAATGCGCGAAGAGTGGATGCAGCTCGGATCACAAGCGTCTAATTATGTCTCGTTCAGTCCCCAGATCACATGCGCGGGGAAACATTTACATGTGCGTTTTCAAGTACGTCAGTGAATGTATATGGTGCAGGGAAGGAAGAGGCGTATGCACAATAAATGACTATAAGTTACGAGGACAGAGGAGAGCCCATGAGGAAATCTATCTTTCCAGATTTCTTAGATTCGCGACGGCTGGTCTGGTCGGATGTGGCGTGGATTTACACCTTCGCCTGACGAACGACTCCTCCACGGGACATCCATTAACAAGAGTGCACGTCCACGTTTTTGCGATGGAAGACAGCGTATCTGCTCGCGTCCGCCTGAATGGGTCGTAACGAGGCAGAGGTAACAACCGAACTGCCGCCATCACAACATCGAGCGTGACCTGCGATGTGGCCGGGGTCGGCGCGCGACCTGCAGTCTTAATGGACATGGACGACGAGCGGCTGATCGTCTGGCGCCAAAGCGATGGCTTTGAACGCGAGGGACGAGTGGACGTCTGTGGAGCTTTCTGGCCGAAGGACTCTACATTCGGGAAACTTGGCACATCCTCGCGCGAGCCGTTGGACCGATGGCTGAGCCTGAGTTCTCTTGAGAATCCGCTCGAGCCTAGTGGTTTGCGCGCTATCAGTGACATCAAGGTTATATTGCGACTAGCCACTCACAGTAGCCTGAGTCAGGAAGCGACTCGGGATCCGAATACGACCGCTCTATGGGAAAAATGACTGGTGTAGGGGAGGATTTATTCTTAAGCTTTCGCAGGGACGAAAAATAAATGTTGGTGGGAGATGATGGCCCGGGACGCGGTGGCGTAAAGGCAAGCCACTCTGCCACTTTGGCACGTTGCCGACTCCGTAGGAGCTTTCTCGCATCTTGAACGCCTAACACATTATCTGCGAAATTGTTAGACAGTATCCCAAGTGCATAGGCTCGTTTACGTACCTGCTCTGTCTCCCGGAGGCACGCGGTTTTCAGCAACAGTCGCTGTGGCTGTTGTATTCACAATCTGATGCTGCGCACTATCGTCGGTTTTCCGTTTTGTTCTTGCGCAAGCAAGGAGTGCATCTCTACGAGCAGAGGTACCAAACGTCGCCAGCTTCCGAGTTCTACGTGAGGAGCCGGCTTGGACAGAGACGTCCATAGTTTCAGCAGGCTTACTTATACACAGATGTGCAGACATCGCACAGAGAAACACGGGTAGAGGGATTACGGTTACGAGTAGAGTTGCAGACGAGACAGAGAGAGCAAAGCGTATTTAAAATGTGTCCTTGATTGATCGGTGCTTGGGCCACCTACGTGTGACTAGCCACAGTGTATTCGATTATCTGTATCTGGTGCTCTGTTCAGTCCATGGCATTTGTTGAGGACAATGGAAGGACCAACACAAGTATCAGTTGACCCACCCTCCTACACTGATCCTTGGATTCAGCTGGGGCATATACATATGCACATATTTTGTTGTGCCAAAGATAAAACACCCCGTACCAAAGTGAGTGCATAGCATAACTGACCTTGTCCACGCGTAGAGTATTCAGAAGAGCAAGTAAATCAAAAGCAACACTACATTACTAGACCCTGAGACATGCAGGAGCGACATTGTCAACGAGGTAGTCGCACGCGCGCTTGCCGCTGCTTCAGCAGCAAACGAATGAACATCACGGTTGTGAATGCCGATAGCGAATACCTGGTGCGTTTTGTGAGCCAATTCCAAGGTTAGTTGAAACCCGCTTTACCATGTAACGATGTAGGAGGCATGGGAATTCCTGACATCGACGGTCGGTGTTCGACCGAAAGGGATACCATGCGACAACCGCGAGGTGATTTCTCCACCATGCCCTCCTGAGGATGTGTTAGTTCGCTTCCGCAATCCCCAAACTCGCGACTCTTACCAAATATCTCTTCAACATATACAGGCTGGACGCCGGCCTGCTCTCCGCCTGCATATTCTGCCATCGCCGGAACATCCGCCCAATACCATTCCCCTTTCTCGGGGTGATTGTCGGGTGTGAAATTATTGCGGACGTGTGACGTCCGTAGCATACCCAGGATCTGTACCTCATTCGTTTCGATGTGGCTTTTAGCTCGATCTGCGAGTTCTTTGGAAACGAAACCTCTGTCGACTAGTACAGTCGATCCGTCCGATCGTATCAAGGGCACAACTAAGTGGTACCCTATGGTGCCGTCCCAGACGCGGGGTCCCAACAGCATGGCATGTTCAGCATCCCAATGGCCTTTAAGCTTGACTTTACGGAAAGAGAACTCTGGGACCGCCGCCATACTTTTCACGGAATGAGACCGAGATCAGATTTGAAGTTCATAACAGACAGAGGTGTCGCGCACTTGACTCGCTTCGGGAGAGGCATGGGTTCTCTTTGCAGCTTCTCCTCCAATTCATCGATGAGCGCTACCTTCCATTTCAGCCGCTGTACTTGCCAAGTCCCGAGAGCAAAAGTGAATATGGGAATGAGGCCAACTAGGAACATGGTGGGTGTGACCCAAGGCATTTTCTTCGTTCTGTATGGCGGTGGCGCGGTACTTGCAGTGGATTCCATGCGTCTGGACACGGTAGGTCCATGCTGTGGCCAGTGCCTTGCAGGGCGCAAAGGCTTTCGCAGGAGAGATGACCGTATACCAGACAACATGTCTGAGTGAGGAAGAGGCTTGAAGACAAAGTGCCCGGGGTACGCCGGGAGCTTGCCGAGATGCATCCATAGGCGTATGTAACATGACACAGACGCCAGACCCACTACTTACTCTGCGCAGTGCGCTGCACAGGCTGCACAGTCTGCTTGCTTCACACCATATACTAGTCTTTACTCAGCTGAGACTGCTCTGTCTGCGGTGTAGGGAAACACCATGTAAGACAGGTATTCCTCAGTGCAAGCCCTCAAGCCTGATGTCATCATAGGTTCTCTGGACAACGTACTCGACAAGGCTACGATTACGATGGCACTGACGAGGTCCACTACCCGACGAGGCCCGTAGACAAGGACAAGGCTGAGGCGGAACTAGTCGTTAACATCAAGAAAGCGACAAACCCTGACGAGTCTGCTCCCAAGCAGAAACATGTGCGAAGTAAGCAGCTTGCGCTCCGGTTGCGTGACGTAGGGATGTTCATCCTGGCCGCACAGAATGCATTGTGTATACATGGGACTATCACTCCTCGATATCTTTCTGGACGGGACTTCGTGTCCAGCCCATTCTTGCTGACGAAGTGCAAACATTCAAGGCACTCATCACTGTGCACAAGGTGTTACAGGAGGGTCACCCAGTGGTACGCGTCCCTTTCAGTGCATTCAGTCGTTAGCGGCTGATCTCCTTTCAGACGATCAAGGAGGCTCATGGACAGACGGGGTGGCTCGAGACATGCGCTCGGACGGTGGGACATGATAGTGCCAGAGGTCAGTGATACCACTCAATGTAGAATCACGGGACACTCACTATCAGCCATAGGATACGGATCTCTCATCAAGACATATGTCCAGTTTATTCTGGCCAAGCTGCGGTTCCACCGTCTTCGACCTGAGTTCAACGGACTATTCGAGTATGAGGAATACATCACGCTGAAGGGTATCGACGACCCAAATGAAGGGCACGTTACATCCCAAATCCATGGTTCATCTTGCATATTTACTGACACCCCGTGAAGTTATGAAACCATATCCGACCTCATGGGTTTGCAGGATCAAATCGATTCGTTCCAGAAGATGATCTTCGCGCACTTCTCGCGTACTTCGAGTAACGAGTGTCGTATTTCGGCGTTGGTGCCCCTGGTCAAGGAAAGCTGGGGAATATACAGGTTCATCACTAGCATGCTGCGCGCTATGCACCGAAGTGAGTCTTATAGTCATGAACGCGATGTGGAGGTACTGAGAGATTGTAGGAACGAACGACACTGATGCATTGGAACCTCTCCGACAACGCTATAGTGCCCAGCATTATGGTCTCCGCAAGTTTTACTACGAGTGTTCGAATTTGAAGTATCTAACTGGTCTTATCAATGTGCCTAAACTCGGTCAAGTACGTATTCGTCGACGTGTGATGTTAGTTCATATCTGACACTCCTATAGGAGCCACCAAATCTTCTGGAGAGCGGCAATGCCCCCGATCTCCCGCAAAGGCCAATGACAACTACCATTAAGACGCCACCGCCGGCTGCGCCGACTCCTGATCCTGCAATGGTGAACGAGCAGGCTCGCATGCTCAGGCAGTACGAGGAACAGCAGGCAGCTCTGCTTGCTGCTCGTGAAGCTGAGGAGCGTCATCGCCAAGAGTTGGAAGAGCAGCAGCGCCGCGAATTTGAGCAGCGACAGGCCGAACAAGCCGAGAGGGAACGGATGGCCCAGGAACAGCTAATGCAGCAGCAATTGATGCAGTACAGCAATCAAGCTGCCGCGCATTCGCAGGATCTGGAGCGAGAGCTCCTGGGTATGCGAGGCCAATTCGAACGTGACCAGCTCATGCTGGAGCAATACGATCGGGTACGTGATTCATATCCTGTGAATAAATACCTCTGCTCATGCTATGGTTGTAGAGAGTCAAAGCTCTCGAGAGTGAACTTGGGAGCGTATCAGCGAATATCAACGCACAGATGCAGTCCAAAGATGACCTGATCAAGCAACTTCAAGACCAGGTCACACTTTGGCGCAACAAGTATGAGGCGCTTGCCAAGCTCTACAGTCAACTCCGTTCAGAGCATCTCGACATGCTGGCGAAGTTTAAGCAGATGCAGTTGAAGGCGAATTCGGCGCAAGAAGCCGTTGACCGTATGGAACGCATGGAACGTGACCTCAAGGCGAAGAATCTCGAGCTCGCCGACATGATTCGCGAGCGGGATCGTGCCCGCTTCGATCTAGATCGCCAGAAGGCGACCCACAAGGACGAGCTCGACCGCGTCCGCCGAGAGCTGAACTATGCGAATGAGCGTGCCGAGGATGCATCGCGGTCGAAGAGTTCCGAGGTGTCAACCGTGTTGTCAAAGTACAACAGACAGCTGTCTGAGCTGGAGGACTCACTACGGGTTTGTTTTCGCATCGAGTGCCATTGTGACTGTTGACCTTGAACGCCTATATACAGGCCAAGCAAATGCAGATCGACGATCTGCTTGTCAAGCTTGACAATGTTTCTGTTGATATGGAGCGGCTCAAGGAAGAGAAGGACCAGGAGATTGCGATCCTACAGGAGGGTATGGACAGCACAATCCAGCAGCTTCACGACTCCCAGCAGGTATACACATTACCATTGCACAATGATTATCATGGCTCACATTCGTTCACAGAACCAAGGCATCTCTGATGAAGCCACGAATGCTCAAATCGATACTCTCATTCTCGATAACAGGAAGAAGCTGAATGACATCATCGGTACGCAACTAAGCTTATTGACACTTCAAGATGTTTTGTCTGATTCATGTTCGTCTTTAGATTCGATCCTGCAGGCCTGCGTACACAAGGTAGATGAAGCCATTTACGAGCTCGAGTCCCCTGCGCAAGTTGGCAACCTCAATTCCACCCCTGAGTACACACTGTCCATGATCGAGAAAGCCATCAACAACGCGACAGACTTCGCAACCATCTTCAACTTATACCTCGGCGGCGAAATCGGCGGAGAACACGTCGACGTTATCAAGGGAGCAAATGAGCTGGCCCAGTCGCTGTCAGACGTTCTGATCAACACGAAGGGCATCACTCGTTTAGTCAGCGAGGATGCATCGGACAAATTGATCAACGTCGCAAAGACTGCTGGTGATGTCGGACTGAGAGTCTTCTTGAACCTCCAGTCCTACAAGCTGGATCTCCTGCCACAGACCACTCAACGAAAGGAGGTCGCTATGCGGAACAACGGAGAAGTGCGTGGCGCGCTCACCAAACTGTCGGAGGTGGTGGACTCCCTCGTGCCGAAAGGCGGGAAGTCAGGGGCTCTAGCGAAAGCCAATGGCGACATCGGAGACATCGTCGAGCAGGAGATGCTGGGCGCCGCGAAGGCTATCGAGGCGGCAACAGAGCGTCTGCAACAGCTCATTTCCCGTCCGCGCGATTCCGGGCGCTTTAGCGCTGTCGATCTGCAAGTCCACGATTCCATCCTGGCGGCGGCACTCGGCATCACCAACGCCATCGGACGACTCATTCAAGCGGCTACCGAGTCGCAGCAGGAAATTGTCGCGCAGGGCAGGGGATCGAGCACTACCCAGCAATTCTACAAGCGGAACAACCGCTGGACGGAGGGTCTCATCTCTGCGGCGCGTTCCGTCGCATTCGCCACCACTATGCTGATCGAGAGCGCTGACGGTGTTCTATCTGGCACCCACTCACTGGAGCAACTGATTGTTGCGTCTAATGAGGTCGCTGCTGCAACCGCTCAGCTCGTTGCCGCCTCCCGCGTAAAGGCCAACCTGATGTCGAAGACACAAGAACGTCTTGAGTTGGCTGCCAAGGCTGTCACGGAAGCTTGCAAGGCTCTCGTCAGGCAAGTCAAGGCTATCTCTGCAAAGCAATCGCAGGACGAAGATGTCGATTACAAGAACATGGCCGCTTTGGAGTTCAAGAAGCGCGAGATGGAACAACAGGTCGAGATCCTGAGATTGGAGAAGGACCTTGGTGCTGCCCGTCATCGTCTTGGAGCCATGAGGCGGGCGGGTTACCACACAGACGAGACGGAGTGATTGAGTTCAAGACATGTCTGATGCGCATATACCATCACTTATCTGTATCATACATCATACGAGTGTTTTCTAATGGTTTTTCGAACAAGAGTCCCGTTAAATTGGTCGCAAAGTGAGGTTTGTTTATTTAAAGTGCTTGTTGGGATGCACCCAGCATTTGTTGCAATCCAGCATATGATACCGTGCTCACTTGCAGTTTCAGATCATCGTGACGAGCATGACATTCGAGTACACGCGACATGCGCCGAGTAGGGGAACAATATTAGTGACACCGATGTGATGGAGCGAGGGAGGAAAACCAGAAAATATGTGCACTACGTAGGTAAGAGTATGTAGCTAGCAGAGCAACGTGGTATAATATCGAATAATGAAGGATAGATATGGCGAGAGTAATCCGGGGGAAACCAGTGACTAACTTCCTAGATAAAGCAAACTATCGCTACTGCGAACCGTGTCAAACGAATCTTTGCCTTCCATGTCTAAGAAACTACTCTCCATAGGCGGGGACGAGGGTGACACGTGTTCCTCTGCCTCCGACAGGCTCTCCATCGTTTGATCTGCCTCATCGTCGATGTCTAGGAATGAGGGTTTCTTCATAATCGAGCGGCGTTGTGCCACTTTCTGTTCGAACGCGCTGGGCGGATGCGACGCTTGGCCGGTACTATCGTAGCCCCCGGGCTGTGAACGGTTTTTGCGGGGAGGGGGAGAGAGCGGATGAAGCGGGACAACACTAGACCTTTTGTCCGTGCTGTGATGAGCGCGTCGGGTGTGCGGCTGCGACGCGCGTGAACGGGGCGGAGGTGGGAGACTGATCGTGCTCTGTGGCGGAGAGTGGGCAGACGAGAACGTCGAGTAGGAAGGTGAAGGGAGGCTCGGTTGTGCTGTTGAGGGGCGCACGGTGAGTGGCGGCTTGAGCGAATTCTGACCTAGCACAGAGCTGCTACGAGTAGACGTCTGCAAGTTCTCTATTACACGACCCTTGGCCTTGGCCGGAGACGCAGTATGTCGAGCTGCGCTACGTGTAGACGGTGCCAGCGACATCCTGTCACTCGAATCGCCAATGGTAGGACCGAACGCAAGCGTTCCTGCTGACATCGTCGACAACCTAGACGCCGCTTTGGACCTGATACTCCGAGTGTCTGTATTCTTCCTCCCTCCAACGAGAGCATCGCCTAGATCGCTGATCTCAAGCTCGAGATGACGGAATTGGTGCCCACGATACCCTCCTGATTCTGCTTCCTGGGCGAGCTGCTGCTCAAGCTTGAGCATATCCGCAGGGGGCATAATGTGCTGAGGGACGTATTCCGACTGTGACACCCTCTTCTCATTGATATAACTCTCATCACCAGCATCCTCCTTGGTGTCGGTAATATATGACGACGGAGCGACACAGGCGTTGCTCGTCAAAAGAGAAAGCGGGTTCCCAAGGCTTCCAAACGACATAGCGATCCTCTGAGTGGTGGAACGCGTATCCTCGATGCTGTACACCGAGCGCACGTCGTCCTCGCCGGACAAGGACGGGCTGAGGGGCGCCTGTGAAGACGTGCTCCGCCGCGCGCTTGAGCCGGAAAACAAACGTTTTCGCGCCGACGACGTGCCTCCCGGGCTGGTGATGCTGCCGCGACGAGACTGCTGTGGCTGATCGTACGTTGGTGTCGTGGGGAATGGCGACGTGGGCTCAGGAGTAGCGGTTGTATAGGAATTAGCATGGCGCAGCGTAGGCAGCGGCGGGATGGGCAAGCGGGAATGATGGAAGGAGCGTTGCTTGCGCGGTATCTTCGCCAGCGGAGACGAGGTGGCCTTGCCCGTAACCGGTTCATCCTGGCACCCTGACCCTGACGTGACTGACGACGTGACGCTCGCATTTGAGTAGCGCTTGAGCAGACTCGATTGCGAGTTTGCTTTCCTGAGCATCTTCGATGAACCATAGGAGGGACCTCCACTGCTTTCCGACGCCAGCTCCTCTCCCCGCATCGTGGACGACAGCGAAAATTTGCTTGTGGACGCCATGTGGAGCTTCTCAAAGCTGAGTTCACGCACAGTCCGCGACGGGCTCGACGGCACGTCAGGGTGCCCACGATCCTTCTCCCTCCGCTTCGCTGCCTTGCCCTTGCGACTGTGCTTCATGCTCTGACGCATGAATTGATTGATCATGTCGCCGGAGTCAAAATCGACGCTGGGTGCGAAGCTCATGCTAGATGAACTAGACGATGGCACATCCGGGAATGCTGCGAGATCCTCGAAGGAATCTCCAAGGCCTGATGGTACTGGAGAAGACGGAGGGGGCGGTAGATCGGCGGAAGGTGGTATGCTGCTCAGGGGAGGCAGCTGCACCCTGGAGGACGACGCCTTGCGCACCACGACCAATGGGCGGGTCGAATTGGGTGATACTGGCGAGTCAGTGCTTGTCACAGTAGACGAGCGCGACCGGCTGAAAATCACCGGAGAGGGGGACGGCGCGTTGGACGAAGGCGTAGGTGAGTTGAAGGGGTCGGAAGCCTTTCGGTTAAGCTGCGGAGGCATCGGCATATCGCTTGGCACGAACAGTCCACCGGCGCTGCGTAAACCGCGACTGCTACTGACCTCGGCAGTCGCAATCGTCATACCTCTGGCCCTTGCGGGCTGCCCACGAGAGCGAGGAAGGAAGAAATGGCTATTGCTGGGTGGTGGGTCACTCAGACGGTTCTGGGGGTCGCTGGTGACGGTCGATGAAGAAGAAGAGTTCGAGCCAGGCGTCTGCCGGCGAGAATGCTCATGCTCGGGCACTAACATCGGAACATCTCTCCCACGCAGAGAGTTCTGCCGTAATCGTTCTGATCCGCTGCTGAAGAGGTACAATGCTCGTGTAAGACTATAAACAATGCGGGTAAAACCGCACAGGCTCACCTAAGAGACGGGCCTAGCCGCGGAGACGTCAGTCGTGAGGACTGGCCTTCTGAAGAGTGCCCATGGGAGTTCGACGACGAAGACCCGTACGATATGCGGTTATGGAACATGGTGTCTCTGGTCTTGCAATTAGGGTCGAGCATGGAGGTGTCAGAATAAGCAGATAGTCTGTTTGGGTCGTTTGAGCTTTGTTGGATGATTACCTCAGAGGCATGGAATGGGTCCAATTCCGAGAACGTGAGGACCGAAGGCTGATAAGAAGCCCTCGCATTGTCCAGGGGAGTGCGCGGCTCCGAGATTGTTCTAGCGGACCTTGCGTCACCGTCGTAATCCCGGGGGCGGTCTGCGGATACTGCGTTGGTAGGGGAATAATGTGTCTGAGAAGGAGCGAAAGTAGCATCTCGGGTACCTGGATCAGAATGTGCGTTGTATATTTGCGGAGCATAATCAGGAGTCATAGGTGGTGGGTCTTGTATCGTGAGCGTAGACAACTTCTTGGACTTGAAGCCCATAGCTGAGCCCAGCGACTTGAGCCTGAGACCCCCTGCGGGATCCTTCTGTTTCATCGACCCTTGCAGTGCAGGGAGAGACGTCTCGCTGTCGTCCGTAGTATTGGAGAAGGACCGGCTCGGTTTGAGTTCGTGAGGGCCCTTTGCGGGCTTGCCGCGAGACCACCACGACTTGTTCTGAGTGGATGGCAGGAGAGACATGAGGGCGGGGAGAAAGGAGTGTGGTCTCCAGAACGAATTGTCGGGAAATTACAGCTGGAAGCCGACACGACGGGAAATGAGTATACACACGAAAGGAAGAGAACGAAAGCAAGGAGGAAGGCGAACCTGCAGGACAGCAAGTCACGACATGGATATTGCAGCAGAGGACAGCGACGATGGGGGACTGCAAGCCAGGTCAGCAGCGACGAGGCGTCTGCAAGCGATATCCCTCGGGCATGGGCTGTCCGTGGTTACCGGCGTCTATCACATCGCAATTGATGCCATGAATTTCCGTTCATTTCCCTTTCTTATGAGCGTCTTCAATATCCCCAAAAGTCTTCCACCCATTGTTCCTAGGATTTACGGTCTCACCCGCACCCAGCCTGCACGTCGGCATCGTATATTACATTCACGGCTGCGGTCGATGCACACTCTTTTACGCGCTCGCAACGGCCTGTCAGCTAGCCACCGCCATCATGGCTCGATGACAGTTCGCAGCAAAAGTCACGGGGGTCTGTGCACACTGCAAAGCCGTCACAACACCCATGATAACAGCTGATGAACCTCCATTTGGGCAAGGAAGATCCTATCAACGAGGATCTCGTCAGGACTAGCCGCCTCTCATTGCTTCGCCTATCACTCCCGCCACGTGCCATGCGCTCACAGTGCTCCCAAAAATATATCGGATCCTTCCACATCTGGCGTTAGCGGAGTTGGACTCCTGATCGACGCATTGAGATCTCAGTTCCAGCTGTCGCCAAGACCTAGCAGAGGGCTGAAGGCCAGGTTGTAACAGACTCGAAGGCTCTTGTATCGCTACGTATGTTCAAGGACACACGAGAACGCAGCACTGCCACTTTAATATGATTGTGAGATATCGTGATGGTCGAATGCTCAAATGTTGCTGAGGCATGTAATACAGAGCACGGCCGCAGGCACAAAAACAGACAAGACTGACTACTGAGTTTTGGATCGCAGCGGTCTCGGCCGCCAGGAATATTTTGCGGTGCCGCAGGATTACACATACGTGCTAGAATCACAGGGGGATGCCGTTATGTACGTCATATCCCTTCGCCAATGCACTTACAATACTCTGCCGCGAAATGTGCGGAGGACATGCAAAGCGACTGCAAGTCTGCAAACGATCGGTTCAGGGTGCGGCAGACATACCGGTAATCAAACACACGCATGTGGTACATAGATGCCCGGTCTCCCCGGATACCGTGTCAGTGAGTACGCGTACACACACACACTTGCTTGCTTACCGGCGGAAGTGGCTTCATCGCGCGCAAGTCATACCTACACAAATGTTCTGATAGTCCAGCTTGTACCAGGGGTAACTCTGGTTTATCCTAAGTATCGCCGCTGGCGAGCATGCCGGCATCTCGCCCAGGCCAGACTGGATTCCAAAGAAAAAAAGAAGGAAGCGCAGCATTATCCGAAGAGTCCTGCGCTTTGCCCGGGTCAATGGCTGCATTCCGTAATCAAGGAACCTCAAGCCTGCGAAAATTGAGACATATAGAGCATACAATGGAGCCCACATCGGTCCCGAAGACTATCCCAGCTCCGCCCAAACATCCTCCATATCTCGATCGTGTACCGCTTGGACTGCTCGCGGCATGTCCGATAAGGTAGTACGCGATTGGGCGGCCTCTTCAGACGCATCGAATACAACTGCATCGCGTATGAGTGGGCGCCCCAGTTCGTCTTCTATCTCCTCGTCTTCCATGTCAATGTCAAGTGTGGTACCTCTGCGCCGTGAAAGGTCGATAGGTTTGGGGCGCGAAAAGATGGATTGACCAGACCTATGCGCGAACCAGTTCACGATGAGCCGACCATGCCTGTATGAAGAGATCGGGTGACCCACTGTCTCATGACGGCAGCCAGACGCCCAAATTGCAGGATATTACGGGCGACGAGGAGCAGAGTGTCCAGCAGTTCTTCTTCCTTGCTAGTATTTCCACAACCAGCGAAGAAGATGACGAGTAAGGTGACCACACAGAATATGGTGAGGACAAGGTCCATGATATTGAACCATGACGTCCAGAATTGCTGTCACGAGGACTACATCAGAACTTCTCGACGCAGCGTCTCTCGAGGTGCACTCACCCTGCCGAAGGCAACAAATCGTATTGAGACTTCGAGAATCATTGCGCCGTTAACGATCAATTCCAGGATGTAGAACGGCAGCGTAGGACAACCGTTCACCAGGCTTAGTGCAACAGTTGTGATGGATAGAGCGGCCATGACCAGGTACAGCGCGATGTACACCTGCGAGTGCACGAATCTGTTCGCAAGGCCCTTCGCGATCTCCTCGCGGGTCATTGAGTATATTGAACGCGTAGGTCTGTGTCAAGACACGGAGGTACTTTAATACGGGGTCTATGAGCCGCTACGGGGATGGAGGCGACCGATGCGTACACTGTGGAGGTATTGCCATTATAGAGATGATCCGCTTCGCCAGCTTCGAGGTCATCCTGGTCGTTGTGTAACGGAGGCATCCTGCAGAGCGTATGCAGGCCGCGGCGGTGCTTGCGTGACGGTGGATTATCATTAGCGCAGTAACTTCGAGGTGGACGGGCGCCTAAGTAAGCATGTGCAAACAAAGTGTCCCCGAATCGGCGCTTACTCACGTCTCCTTCAACCCAGTCAGCGACGGCGGAGCACTCCTCGTCGGTCATCTTCCGTCTTATTCAACACACACACTTGCGTTACTGTCTACCCAACACAACTAGCCAACATGGGTGGTGGCGATTTGAACATGAAGAAGTCCTGGCACCCGCTCCTGTTGAAGAACCAGGAGCGGGTCTGGCTCGAAGAGAAGAAGGCGGTATGTCTCAATGTTTCTATACTTGCTGTGAATTCAGCTCATTCCTTATATAGCTAGAGGAGAAGAAGAAGCTTGACCAGCTTCGTAAGGAGAAGGAGGAAGAGCGACAACTGCAGGATCTCCAGCGTTTGCAGGAGGAACAAACAGGCAAGAAGAGGATGGAGAAACTGGAATGGATGTATGCAACCCCAGCGACCGGGAGCAATCAAAATGCCAACGAGCTGGAGGATTATTTGCTAGGGAAGAAGCGAGTTGACAAGATCTTGACGGCGGACGAAAATGAGAAGGTGTGTTCCTTCTCTGCCTGACGTAATGACAATACTTACTATCGTTGGTGCAGATTGGCGCAGCCCACAAGAACTTTATCGCCACCCAGTACGCCAACACCGCTCGCGACACCGCCGCCAAGATCCGTGAGGACCCCTTACTTGCGATCAAGCAGCAGGAGCAAGCGGCCTACCAAGCCCTCATGTCCAACCCCCTTCGTCTTCGTGAAATGCAGGAACGCACTGGCATCAAGCCCAAGAAGGAAAAGAAAGACAAAAAGGAGAAAAAGGAGAAGAAACAGAAGGACAAGCATAGGGATCGCTCTGCGTCGCCACGCGATGAGCGGCGCAGGTCGGATTCTCGCGACGGCCATTATTCCAGGCGGTTGCCCAGTCCATCTAGACAGCGTTCACGCTCTCCAGCTCCTCGCCACAGCCGTGACTACTCTCGCGGACGCGACCGTGACGACGACTACGCTCACAGACGACGTGGCCGCAGTCGCACTCCGGACTCCTATCACCGCCGCGACCGGAGCGCGAGTCCCGACAGGAGAAGGGAACTCAGGCGCGACAACAATCAGGTCCGTACATGGCCGAAGTCGGACGAGTCAGACGACAACGGTCTTGAAAGGAGAAAGGCGAGAGAACATTCTGTGGATCGCAAGAGACGAAGAAGCCGAAGCAGGAGTCCTAGACGTTATGACTCATTTCCGCCTAAGCGTTCTCGCCTAAGCCCGCCTCCGCGGCGGGCACCGCAGGGCGACAGGGACGCTCGACCGTCACAGAGCGCAGAGGACCGTGCCGCTCGCCTCGCAGCTATGACCGTAGATGCGTCGAGTATGACGGTGGAACGCAAGGAACGGCTCGCGCAGCTCCTGGAGCAGGAGAAGCTGGAAGCAGAAGCGGAGGCGCGCGTGAGGGCGAAGTCCAAGGGTATGGGTGGTTTCCTCAGCCAGGAACAGAAGAAAGTTTTCGGAGGAGAGGGTGGCATCGAGGAACGCATTCGGAGAGGACGGGGGCAGATGCGCGTCGATGCCGATTGAGCCACCTCGCGACAGACGTGTTTCCATTTGACCCGTTCGGTATGGTCATCCCCCCCTTATTGCCGTGCTATTACATACGCGTGTTGTACTTATGTCTTGTACCCTACTCCCAATACCCTCCCGATGGACCTATGTATGCATTGCGATCATCGCCACTGTGTTACGATCCGTACCAATCGCAAAGGTCAGAGAGCCAACATCAGCTATCTCGCATGCTTTGCGAGGGTTAACTTCGGTGAGATATAGTATAATTCATGTAAGAGGTAACGGCGTTTGCAAACTGTGGAATGTGATACCGTGTATGACACTTGGCTTCCATTGCTGGGTGTTGTACTCGTGTTACGCAGTACACAGGAGCTCGGTACGGTGCTGAACGGATATCACGTCCCCGTTGCGGCTTATCACGAGGCGGCTTATTGGAAAGGCATAAGCTTACTAGGCGAATGGCCCCGCTCATGCCAACCTGGGTATGGGAGGCCTCAGAGCTTGCGTTATCCGATGACGGCGCAGTCCAGGGCATGTTCAACGCAATCCCAGTAGGAACACATCGAGATGCGGGTACGTAACCCCGTCATTGTGCTCAACACAGGGTACTGAGGAAGTTACATTCACAGTGGCCGGCCATCAGCAAATTTCTGCTTGTCCAGTTTTGAAGGTCTGAGTTTGTCTTTTAAGAGACCCCGAGAGGATCAAGCAGCTCAAACCTGATAGTGAGTAGGTTTCGGCTTTGCTGATGTGCCAAAACATTGCAACTCGGCCTGGCCGGAATAATAGTTCCACGACAAGCGCATATCCATGAGTGTGTTAGAGACATTCTCAATTCAGCGGAGGATGTATCTCATCATACAGCCATCTGAAGTCAACTCCAATCCAGTTGTCGACGACCCGAGAAGCAACAGATCGGGCTCGCGGGGAAATGACTGATCGGACTTGGCATGTGAAAATCAAATTCCCATCGGCCTAATTCTGTCGGCAATCGTGATCCGATCTCTGATGCGTCAGCAAGAGTGGGGTCCTCAAATAGGCAATCCTGAAAGCATGGGTTTGAGCCGTTCGGCTGCATACCTATTGCACGACCCTTAAGAGCAGCCAGTCCACGACTGCGTAATTCCCTACGTGTGACCACTACCAGCGTACGGATGTCCCCATGGACAAAAGATCCGAGCCCGTCGATTGCCAAGCCCATGACGCAGAAGGTGTGTCGAGACGATCCAATCCAAGCCAAGAAGAGCTCACAGGTAAATGCAGATGACCGACACGAGAAGGAGGCCGACAGGAGCCCAGCTGTAGAGAAGCCTTATAGCATCTACACCGCTGGAGAGAAATGGTTCATCGTCACTATCGCTGCATTTGCTGCCCTTTTCAGGTGAATCCGAACCAAATTAGTCGGAACTATCCAGGTAATTGACATCTAATGTTCCTGCAGTCCCTTCACTGCAAATATATACTTTCCTGCAATCCCCACAATAGCCGCAGCATTTCATAGGTCAATAGAAGACATCAATCTCACAGTGACAGTGTATATGGTTGTTCAAGGCGTGTGTACGTATCTTTATTTTGGACGTCTTTGCGAGTTCTCATAGCTAACCAGAGTACACGCAGCTCCCATGTTCTGGGGAACATTAGCAGACCGATGGGGCCGAAGGCCCATGTTTCTTGGTTGCATGCTCGTCTTGTCGGTCGTCTGCGTGGGACTCGCTCTCACGCCCACAAGCGCATTTTGGCTGCTTATGCTTTTGCGTTGCTTGCAAGCTGCCGGGTCTGCGAGTACAGTGGCTCTGGGTACGTACAATATTTTTGATAGATCATGATGAAATCGATTGACGCCTGGACTGGTAGGTGCCGGCGTAATAGCTGATATTGCAGCAACGCACGAGCGGGGCTTGTATTATGGCACATGGAATATAGGTCCTATGGTCAGTCCGTTCAGTTGCTATACGATTAGTATAACTCATGCGGCTCACCAGGTAGGGCCATGTATCGGTCCTGTTCTTGGGGGTGTCCTAGCACAAGGGCTGGGCTGGCGGTAAGTGACTGAGTGGGTACTTTTATTGTGGGTCTCTAAAGGGGCTCATACAGCTCAATCTTCTGGTTCCTCGCCATCGCATCAGGGGTTTGCTTCGTAACCATTCTCCTGTGAGTCTTCTGTTGGGCTTCTAATCTCGTAACATTCCGACACTGAGCGTGAAATGCTCGTATAGACTAATGCCGGAAACTCTCCGCGCATTTGTGGGCGATGGAAGTGTCCCTCCCCCACGCCTATACTTACCCCTCATTCCCGTCATCGGGCGCAGCCGTCAAAACGTCACGCCTCAAGACCCCTCCACTCGCCCTGCGCCGCGGCGCTTCAACAACCCGTTCGTCCTTTTCCTTTACCCGGACATCACGCTTCTTCTGCTATTCAACGGCATTGTGTACGCTGTGTTCTATGGCGTGACCACGAGTATCTCCACCCTGTTCAAGACGACATATCCATACCTCACGGAGACAGAAATTGGGTTGTGCTTCTTGGCCATCGGCGGGGGAATGCTCATCGGCGGCGTCTTTACCGGACGCCTCGTCGACAAGGAGTACAAGAGGGCGAAGCGACAGATGCTAGCTGCGCAAGAAAAGGAGACCGACCCGGAGAAAAGGCTGTCACCTGAAGACGTGACGAAGGAGGAACATTTCCCGATTGAACGGGCGAGATTGAGGCTGATGCCGCTCTATCTCGGCATCTTCGTCGTGATATGCATCGGCTATGGCTGGGCGTTGGACAAGAAAGCCAATATAGCTGCTCCTTTGATTCTTCAGTTTGTCCGTGAGTAGACCCCGGTGGTGCGCATTTCTGTTTCGCTCACCTTTCACAGTTGGTTGGGTAACGGTGGCCACCATGAATATCACGCAAACTCTTGTGGTCGACCTTGCGCCAGGCCAGAGTGCCTCGGTGACGGCTTGTGTATGTACCCTTCTCCGTACACAGAAAACCCACTCACACATACCACCTATATAGAACAATCTTGTGCGATGTTCGCTCGGGGCAGCGCTCGTCTCAGTCATAGATCTCATCTTGAATGCTCTCGGTGCCGGCTGGACGTACGTGCTGCTGGCGGGCATCTGCGTGCTCTTCTCTCCCATCATGGTTATCATGTACCACTACGGTCCACGGTGGCGAGCACGTCGGAGAGCACGTCGGCAAGCCCGCGAGGCTGATCGGGCGTAGCGTAGACGCCTACAGTGCATCGCACGTTCTCTTCACATCTGTCTCGTTGCTCTGACACGCTTTCTTGTATACTGCATTGGGGTTCGTAGCTTAGAGCGCTTCAGATGACTCACGAATAATCATCTCAAACCCTATCTTCTCTAACCGACGCACGGCACCCTGTTGTGACGCGCTGGCCCGCAATTATATCACAACATCATGATTCGCCTGTCAGAACAGGCGCGAGGTGGCTTGCCTCTGCTCCAGAGACCGATAAGCTAGGTGAGACCTGGTGTGACCGAGGCTCAGCAAACCATTATTCACGAGCAGATTTGGACAGGCTCAATAACGAAATAGACCGGTGTATACTGCCCGGTGAGATTGCGGCCACAAACCAATTCATTTGGACAACCCGTTTGACAGATGGGGGCTGAGAGATAATACAAGCGGCCTGCACGGCGCTACTCAGTCGTTGTCATTCACAAGTCGCCCACGAGTCCCTCCAAGTTGCTCCCGCCTTATTGCAGCCTTCCCGGACGATGTCTACTGTACGTACCTCCATTGATGTTTGGCCAGTCAGCTCACTGGGTATGTAGAGTATCAAGGTCCAAGTGCATAATGGGCTGGTTCCTGAGGCATCGACCGATGCGAAATGGCGCGATGACGAACAATTCCTCACCTTGCGAGACGGCCGTACTCTAGCGTACACCGATGCTGGAAATCCAAACAGCTCGACAGTCTTCCTACATTTCCACGAGGCAATAGCCATCGGATCTATTCGCGTCTTGGCCCTTTCGCCCGCCTTGTTGGCAAGGGATGTGCACTACATTGCGCCAACGCTGCCTGGCTGGGGAAACACTTCCCGTCCGCCGAAGTCGACATCGTTCGCAGCCTGTGTCATGTCCGATGTGGCGGCCTTGCTTGAACACCTCCATCCGGACACTGCAAGCATCAAACTGTACATATCCGGCATCGAGTACGGTAGCTTGGCGGCGCAAATCTTGTATTGTGCGTCTTACGCCGAGTTTCCCCATGGACGCCAGGTCGCATCCATGCTTCTGCGGAATCCATACTCCCCCAAGCAGTATAATTCGATGTCGCGCGTAGGCCCCTCTTTCTTTGCGAAAACAATGTCATCCACCATGCTGCGCTGGATTATCGAGCTCCTCGTGCGCTATAAGATGCGCGACCGCAAGAGCCTACAATGTTTCTGGCGCGAGCAAGTCTTCGACAAATTGACGACTGCGCAGAAGGAGAGTTTCAACCGGTGGACCACCCTGCAAGGGCGTGAGGAGGAAGGATATATCCGCCTTTGGGCAGATCAGGCTGTGTACAGTGTCAGTCAAACCTGGGATGGTTTCCGTAGGATGGAGAGCGTCTTGCGGTGGAGCTCGGGCACGTTTAATCCCTTGTCGCTGGACAAGGAGCACACTGCAAAACCGATCCTTATTGCAAGTGCGAAGGGCAGGGCGATGTCGCATTTCCTTGTCGAGAATTATCCGAACGTACGCGCGGTATACTACGACTCTGAATTTGAGGTAGATATGTGGAGCCTCGACAGCATCATGGAGGAGTTCATGGGTGTGGTCTGATGAATTCGCAGTGTGCCATACTAATCCCTAAAGTTGACTTAAATCCATTTGTAGGGGCACCGCCTGTATCGCTCTTCCTGTTCCGGTTGGCTATTATCGTCTCTGTCGAGGGTTGGCTCAGAACTTAGAGTCTCAGGAATAAATAATGAGCACAAAGATACGGTCCTCTGCATACGAGCCTTAGGGCCTACCTGGCCTTGGCTTGCCCGAGCGCGCACCTTGATCGCCGGCCCCGGGGACTTCCGAGGCAAAGCCAAGCCGAGAGCGATGCCGGTCCACGTCCTCGCCTTGTCTTGCTGGCCGGGCGGGGTCAAGGGGCAGGCGTACCGTTGATTTATGGCACCAACCCTAGTGGTGGTAGTGCCCCTGTCGGTGACCGGGGTCCCCGATTGAACTATCCAGCTCGATTTCCGTAAACAACTTCCTACAAGTGCACAGCCTCGAATTGAGCTTCGGGAATTTCACGACATCATGTAACTGATATACATTTGGTTTCTGTGTGTCTGAATTGTCGGTATGAGAGACAATGCTTGGTGAGTGAGGAATAGCAAGTGCAGCTCTTGGGCGCTTGTCCCTTCTTGGGCGCTCGTCTCACATTTTGAGCGCCCATCTCGTCTTGAATGTCCATTCCATCTTGCAATCTAATCAGATTTTCCACGTCGTACTTTCTCAGAAGTACTACATATACTGCGAACTCTGTGACTTCAGCATGATTTATGTATGTTGCAATGTAAATGGAAAATTACCTGTATGAAAAAACACAAGTTATCTAATTCATTAGTATACTGCAAGTCTTTTCTCAACAACCGTTCATGTTCTTCTCGTAGCAATAAGATCCAACTTGTCTGATATCCCCATCAATGACAATATCAAGGTCCATCATGAAGCTTTGAGGAATGGCTGAAAGTGAGCAGCCTCAATCTCAATAGGAGGACCAGTGAGTAAGTTGGCGAGACGAAATACAATACTCAGATCGTCAGGATGGACAATCTAATCAGAGATAAGGAGGATACCCCACCCAATCGGTGACCGGGGGCCAGCGCTAAACTAACAAGGGTTGATATCAGAAATCAACGGTACGCCTGCCCCTTGGGCGGGGTATGGGGTTGTTCGGCTCATTAAGCGCCCCATGCAGGCCGTATAAACCCAACCTTTTCAGCGTTCGGTCGATTACTCACCTTGTACCTTTACGAACATGTTTAATCAGTCTACGCACGATACTCTGAAGCAAGAGCACGAAGCCCTGCCGGATGTTGAGAATGCGTCGCCTACAGGTTTGTTTTCCGAGTCCTTGAGATCTTGATGTGCGCTGGAAATTACTAACATGATTGCGTGAACAGGGGTTGCCCCCCAATGTGTTGCGCAAGCCGGCGCTGTAACTGAGAAGCCGTATAGCATTTTCACTACGAGCGAGAAATGGTTTATCGTAGCCTTGACTGCTCTGGGAAGCCTTTTCAGGTCGGTCGCCCTCAATACCGATTCATGATTGGGACACTAAATGTGCGAATATGAGTAGTCCATTCACTTCCAACATCTATTTTCCTGCTATTCCCACCCTAGCAGCGGCATTTCATCGGTCGATTGAAGACATCAATCTAACTGTGACCGTTTATATGGTCGTCCAGGCACTGGGTCTGCATTACACCTTTTCACCTTTTCATTGGGCTGCATGGTTGACTAAATCTTCCTCAGCTCCCATGTTCTGGGGTACTTTTGCCGACCGCTGGGGTCGAAGGCCAATGTTCCTTGCTTGCATACTAGTACTATCGTTGTCTTGTGTCGGATTGGCATTGACGCCTACCGATGCCTACTGGCTGCTCATGGTTCTTCGTTGTGCACAAGCAGCGGGTTCTGCCAGTACGGTCGCTCTAGGTACGGTTCGATGTTTTACTTATCTTCGCATTTGTTGATGAAGCGTATTAGGAGCTGGCGTGGTTGCTGATATAGCTGCGCCTCATGAGCGTGGTTTGTACTTCGGGATGTGGAATGTAGGACCGATGGTGAGCTTTAAGTGCTCTTCTCGCTTTGTTGGTGTCTGAGGTGTGTATAGGTCGGACCTTGCATTGGACCAGTCCTTGGAGGGGTTCTGACACAGGGTCTTGGCTGGAGGTAATTATTCACGAATGGTGCGCAAATTCATATTGTACTCATACACATCCTTCGGCAGGTCCATCTTCTGGTTCTTGGTCATAGCGTCTGGTGTCACATTCATCGTGATGCTACTGTGAGCACTTGTCATGCTGACAGCATCGCATGACTACTAACGTGCTTATTTTGCTGTAGTTTCATGCCTGAAACGTTTCGCGCGATTGTTGGTGACGGCAGCATTCCTCCTCTACGATTTAGCCGTCCTCTACTTCCCGTAATTGGGCGCGGCCGGCAGCAATCCACCCAGCGGGATACAACCACCCTATCTCCTCCACGTCGTTTCACCAATCCATTCGGCCTCTTTCTTTCTCCAGGCATCACGCTCCTTCTTCTCTTCAACGGTATTGTCAACGCAACCTTCTACGGCGTCATCACGAGCATCTCCACACTCTTTCAGACAACATACCCACATCTCAACGAGACAGAAATTGGCTTATGTTTCATGGCTATTGGAGGAGGCATGCTCATAGGAGGAGTAATCACAGGGCGCATACTGGACGGGGAATACCGAAGGCTGAAACAACGTGCAGTCGCCGCTGCGGAGAAGGAACTTGATCCTGAAAAGCGATCCAGAGAAGAAGACGTAGCGACAAGCGAAAAATTCCCCATCGAACATGCGCGTTTGAGACTAACCCCCATCTACCTCATTGTTTTGGTCGCTACTTGCGTCGGGCAAGGCTGGGCTATAGACAAAGGCGCCAATCTAGCCGCTCCACTGATTCTTCAGTTCTTCTGTGAGCAGCTTCGTTCTCATTTGTTGCTGTCTCGTTAACGCCTTCGGCAGTCGGCTGGGCTACTATCGCCATGATGAATATCGCGCAGACCCTGACTGTGGATCTCGTGCCTGGCCAAAGCGCCTCAGTGTCAGCTTGTGTGGGTATTCTTGGATTCAAAGACGGTGTGACTCGCTGACCATTGCGAGTAGAACAATCTCCTGCGATCCTCCACCGGTGCAGTATGCGTATCAGTCATCGATCTTATTCTGAGTGCTTTGGGCACTGGCTGGACATACGTCCTCCTGGCGGGCATCTGCGCCATTCTTTCGCCGATCCTCCTCTTGACATATCATATGGGTCCTAAATGGCGTGCCCAAAAAAGGGCTAGCCGTTAGCCTCGTGAGGCTGATCAGGCATCGTGATCTGTGCTTCAACGCACCGTATCCTCCGTCGTCGAACTCGGACATGCCAGGCACGTCATAGGACGTGCTCACGGCCTCCCGGGGCTGATCCATGTTGCCTTCGTGCAAGACACTTGCCCGTTACATCTGCTTTCTATTGGACATCGCGGACACGTATCGGTGCCGCATACATCTGCCATGGAGGATGAGTGCTCAACGCGCTGCATCCGGCTTCTATTGCTTCAGACAAGACGATCACGTTTAACGACGTGTCGTTGACCTTGCGAGGCCTTGGCCATACAGTGATCAGTGCTTCAACGCACTGCATCTTCCCTGCGTACTCGACGCAGCATGAGTGCGTCCCAACGACGCCTCATAGGCCTCGCTTGGTCTGTCAAGCATCTGACCAGAGTTTCAACATTCTGGGTCAAGACTCCGTTTTCCGTGCATATTCTGTGTTGTCGAATCTGAGACAACTGGCCCTATCTGAGACTAATAATAGGCGATCGCCGCATCATAGCGCAATAGCATCAGGCCGAGCGTTGTATTTGCCGTATCGTATTGTATAAAATGTCAGTCTCGCGCAAGAGTACACGACTAAAACGTAGGATTGGAATATATGGTAGGCAATCCTGTCACATCGCAGTATGATTAACGGATAGCCCGGGAAGATGACAAATACTGGCATAAACTCTCCAACGCCTGTGGAACTCACAATCCCGGACCATGTGTTCCTCTAGGATTCCGGTTGGGATGTGGACCTTGCGGGAATAGATTTGATGGGTCTAGGATGGGGTAGTGTACACCCTGTACGAACTCTGGAACAAGCTGCTGCTGACAGAACGAGAATGTGCCCTCCGCGAGGTTTGTGGAGGGACTGGTGGTGGGCACTTCCATCGTATCATCGTGCATAATGCCTTCGTCGTAGTCGGAGTGCGGCCAAAATTGATATCCGCTGTAGTAAGAGGGAGACGCGTCTAGGCCAGGTACGTCGAGACCAAGTGTCTGCATCATGAAGCGTGCGGTCGTGTCTTCTTCGAGCGCTACTGAGGGTTGGGATACTTCTTCGCGCGAGTAGCCTGCTCTCTCGTATGTGGACTGGCTCAGACCCTGCTCGACCTGGTCGGCGCCTAGCGCTTCTTCTGCTGATCGCTTGTGTCTGGAAGGCTGCTGTTGCGACTGCAGGGACATCGGCACCTCATCTCGCAGGACTTTGACCCCTTCCAAGAGTTTCCGCACACGAGTCGCACTAGGCCAGATACCCTATTGTGCAAATATCAAGGATTGGCCATCAAGACAAGACAAGACGTACCTCCATGTAGCGGAGCGCGTCGATACATTCCTTCAAGCCTATTGTAGCTTGCGCGTCCTGAGGACGTCTAGTCACTAATACATCTCTTAAGTCAATACACCGAGACAAGATGATCTATTGAGTCTTACGCGTGATGACATGCATAATCCTATGGGGCCCGAGCACGTTAGCATAGAGGGCGCAACATGGATTATGTCATACTCACCCTGCACTCTGAAGATAAATTGACAAGAACGATGGAGCCCTGTCAAGTCCATACTTCTCGTGTAGAACGGTTACTGGTAATAAATTCAGCAAGAACGTTTGGGGCTTTCATGATGAATACGCACCAATGGCACTGATATTCGCAGCCGCACTTTGGCATATGTCAAAGGACTTCATGGGCAATGTATCGCCTGGAAGGTTTCCTGCTCCCGAGTCGTGTATTCCTCTGTGTACGTGTGAGTACTGGAAATACTTCACGACGATTGTACCAACCCATTAGCGTGTGGAATACTACGGTGAGCCAGCCAATCAGCTTCGCAGTACGCAGGCGCCTAGAGACTACAACGCACAAGGCTCGATGCAGTAGCAATACTGCCGCGTAATACTCGATATGGAGGACGAGTATGTGTGACAATGGTGTCACAGTGGCGCTCGCTGGTGAGTACCTGAGGTGCTGCGGCAGATTAAGGGACCAGTGGTGTAGTCTGTACTCCAGCTCTTGCATCAACTGACGTCGTGGCTTGTCCTTCGACGTCCGCACAGGGTATATCTGATCCATAATGTCGGTGATTATCATAGCTGTTTGTAGTTTAGCGCTGTCAGATATGACTGATGAGCAGTACGCTGGGACCCACATAGCTCGCATTGGTCCCGGTAGCAGCTTATGGTCATTGCTGGCCGTGGCATAAAATCTGGTCCGAGAGCATCGGGTAGATATGGCTGCCAGAGTTCATTGTCCTCCTTAATATGTTATAAACACCGCATTAACTATCAACAAAACAGATGGTTATATTTGCCATGTCCTTACCTCTGTGATATCAGGCTTCAACGTAGAGTAGTCATTTGCACGGAAAGTGATAGGCCTGCCTGTGGTTAGAAATCAACATTAATCAGGGAGGAACAGACTGCAAAACGAGCGTACCCATCCACATCGCGGACAATCTGCGAGAGTGACAATCAGATGACCATAGTTTGCGGAATGAGAAGTACCTACTTGTCTGTAATACAGCATGACCACCATATCTGTTTCCTGAGTTGTTTCTCAACCGGTGTGAAGATATCCCTGCCGCGATCTTTCCAATTGTCTGCATTACGGTTCATGCCAAGGTCAACAGCCTTTAATTCGATAGCTATCAGCTACTGCGAAGAGCTACGGTATCAGGGAACGGATCTTACCATACGCAACGCCATGCCTACGTTGCCATTTGAGAACGATTTGTCCATACAGGTATATGGCCAGCACTCACCGGTATAAAGCCAGCCTTGTTCCATAGATCCTGTAGTCCTTCAGCGATCTAAGTTCTCCTTGTGGTGAATTGGTCATACCTATCCCAAACTCTCGTATCCCAAGCAGTAGAAGTGCCTGTACGGTAGCTGGCCGGCTGTACTGAAAAATATTATCTGAATTGTAATGAAGGTGTGGTTAATAGACACATGCGGCAGCAGGGAGCACACAGCGGCCTACGCACTCAATATCTCCCTCGCGCCTATCGCACATTTAACTCCTACGGCTCGCAGGTCCTCTCCTAACACGCTATCCAACCTGTGATCCGCATACCGTGCAGCAACGGAGAACATAGCAAGCAGGAGTAGCTTGTTGATCTTTTGCATTGGCATTCTCTCCGACGCCGACGGGTGCTGTCCGCCAAATATCTGGCTGTCCGATCTGTTTTGTCTAAACCGGAGACGATGAAAAATGTTAACTGCGAAGAACAAAGATATACAGAGCGAGAGGAGCTTACATTGGAAAGTTGGCTAAGAAATGCGACTTGTGTATCACCGGAAAGAAAGGATGCACATATACGAAGTACAGCTGGACGAGATGCCTCTGTATCTCAAGGGATGGCAATGCTATTCTCGGGTCATTTTCGGCATCGAAGACTGAGAATGTCGAATCCTCGGATCGGGCTTCCTCCTTGAGCGTTGGGAATTTCCTAGCAGTATACCGAAAATAATCACAAGTTCGGTATCAACAATCAAAAGGTTTTTGTGATAGTGTAGAGGCCTGCGTTAGCGAATTCATGATGTAAGCCACCTGGGGCGTACCATAGTCCATCGATGTCCTTTGAGTCTTCTGCACGATCACTGCGAGCGAGTAGGGGAAGACCAGACGCATGCCCATGGTAACGAATCTAGTTAAATGTGTAGCTGTGAGTTGACATTCGCATGCTGCAAAGAGTAACGAAAGAATGCGCACCTCTTTGTGGTCGTCGAGGGCCAAGTGGCCGAAAGAATCAGCTGTGTCGTCCAACTCATCCCAATTAGAGTCTAGCAAGATGACATGTCATAAGTACATAGCATAACACGCAAAGTGGCATCGGCGTACATGAATCATCTGAGCCGCCGCCCCCTTCATAGATACCCTGGTGTAAAGGCGAGCTATCCTGAACGTACGACCCTTCAAGCCTCCTTCTCTGTCTGCCAGGCTCAACAGCCTCAGAAATACCCCGGTAGGATGATGAAGACGCAGATGCTGGACTTGCGCTCGTGTGTATGGGAGAGATGGGATATTCCGGAATCTGACCTCCTGAGAGGCGGCGAATGAGTTGATCCTGCCAATCTTTGGTAGGGGTCGCTAGCACCGACGGATTCTCGCTGGAAACAATCTCACGCGTCATGCGTGATTGTCGCCGAACGCGACGGTCGTCTCTTGAAGCCTCGGGTGCACCCATGATGGTTGCATAGAAGTCTCCACTGGTTACTCCTTGTCGCTCGAGTGCCCTGCCTCGTGGACCATAAGGACCTGAGTCAACCCTGTCGAGTATGGAGTTGGCAAACGAATCGGCGCGCAGCTGTGAAACGACGTTCTGAGCTTGAGGGATGGCCATGAGAGAACCGAGAATGCATTCGACTTGATGCCACCGCTGCTCGATAGCATGGATATAGCCCTTAGGTGGTCCTCGTTTGAAAGAAGGGCCTATTTCCCGCTTCAGAAATTCAGGTATCGACAGGCAAAATCCATATGCATACCCTGATAAGTGCAGGGCGTCCCTGCAGCAGCACAGTTCTTGCACTTGTTTCCGCTTGTAGCTTCACATTTGCTCTTGAGTTTGCGACATCTGTCGCAAGCTACCCGAGCAGTTAAATACGCGCAGCACGAAAGAACGCCACGGGCTGACGCACCTCTACTGCCCCGTTTGATGCCCTTGAAGTTAGATGGACCAGGATCACCGTCGTCACTGTCGTTGAGGGCGCCCGGGTCGTACGAGTAGTCTGCGAGAGACATCATGTCGTTTGGTAGTCAAGTAAGTGAACAAGCAGGAAAGACTGTCTAGAGCACAAAAGACCGCGATATGTGGGCGATCGCTCCATGACATCATTATCGGAGACCCTACTATTAATGTGCTTGTCACGCCCGGGATGTCACATTGCCAGTGTCGGAACATCCTGGGGATCATGCTTACTCGGTAAAATAACTGCAAGTGCAGCGATGTGTGTACAGCACTTTCGGACAGCTACGGTAGCAATGGTTAAACTTTCGAAATTCGTTGTCGATGTGTTGCTCGAACGCGGTGCACGTGACGGTGTCTCTTTAAACCGCGCCAATTGGTGTCGCGTCTCGTCTGCGCCACCAGCGGTCATGAACCGAGAATGTCTGATGACCCCACGCTGACGTTCAACCGTAAGCCTTCTCTCTGGAGCCACACTGCTTATATACTCATGCATGCTTCGCTCAGAGGCTCTACGTGGAGTGACTGGATTTAGTAAGCATGCCACAGCTTCGAGGAATATATCTCCTCACTTGCCAGTGTTGACAGTCGAAGTTGCCATTCATACCATTCTTTATGTTCGCCAAATCTACCCAGCTGATCTGTTTGTGCGACGCAAGAAGTATGACACTCCTGTGTATCAATCTCGTCATCCGGCTCTGAACGAGTATATTTCCGGTGCTGTCAAAGCCATTGAAGAGGAACTTCTTTTGGTCGGTCCAATAGAGAGTACTTCTACCAAATCGCGCTCCTGATACACCTCCTTGCTTCAGGGACATGTTGATAAAGTGGTTGTTGTGATTAAGAATAAGGAAGACATTGCACTTGAACGTTTCATTTTCGCAGTCAGTACCATGATCGAGGTAGAATTGTTCAACAAAGACACAAGGTTGCCCCCCTTTGGCTATTTGTAAGGCTTTAACTGATTCTTCAGTTTTACAGTGTAGAAGGTGCCATGACATCAAGGTCTCTCGCACAGTATTTCCGGTCTTTCCTAGTCAAACTCAACATGATTGAAGCTCAGCTTGGCCAACTAGAGATGGGCGGTAAATCCCTGTAGCATCAGCGTGTCTTCAATCTTCACCAACTGTGACGGCTTGCTTTATGCAGATGAGCTCTCTTTTGCGATTGTGCTGGAACTGCAGGACACAAAGGCCCCTGCCGCGTCCCACGACGAGGTATCCAGTAGCATCTTGCCCTTGAACGCTATGCCTAAGCTCATTCCTGACTTTAGGACCCTCCGCCCTGGATTCCGGCGCCCTCTCAGCATGCGACGGCAAGCGTGTCAGAAAGTGCAGAGCTGCACATGATCCGCGCCGTAGATACTGGCATAATCAACGTAAGTGAAATAGTGTGTGGATCGGTATGAATCGGCTCCTCATGCGTTCATTCGATAGTTGTCTCTCGCGGTACAGGAGTCAGAGGAGAAGCTCAAGACTCATAGAGAAGACGACACTCAGAGAAAGGGAAAGGGGCGTGCGTCATAACGGGCTACTTGAATCTACTTGAATATTACAGTCCACTGTCAGAACTTACCGGAGGTGGTTCCGATGACATCATTGTACTATCTACCCATTACTTCAAACGAGATACGATCTTGAAAGAGGATATTGCTTCGATAATTCAGTACTAGGTATGATTAGACAGCCCATTCGATAACAACATCATTGCAATGTCCAATTATGAAGTACACTTTCAGCCAGCCGCAACCTGCTAATATTCTTCCAAGACATTATTGGACGTCCACTCGTATGCGTTGAATAATAGGTATAATACGCTCCCACTCCTCCATCGACTGACGGATTCAACGTTCGTGCGCGACCAACGTTTGTAAATCAATACATGTTTCCATAGGTGATATGGATCGTACATACCGCCTTGTAGAATTCAATCTGACCATCTGCGAGGTTACCAAGCATCTCCTTCATTTCCGTCTCCTTAGCGTGTTGGAAGACGGTCTGTTCCCGGAGGACCTCGTCACTAAAGGCATCCGACGTCTCGTGTGCCGTCGTGACAGCATCTTGCAGCTTATCGCGCAATAGTCAGCCGTTTGCGGACAGTATACCTTACGAATAATGAGTACCAACCTCCTTGATCCTACCGTCGAGCTTCCGCATCTTCTCGACGCGGCTCCTATCGTCATCAGCTCCGCGCAGAGCGTCTACCCGGTCCTTGAGGTATGCCCCAATCCCTAGACCAGTGCTGCCTGCATGACCGTTGATTACGGCGGCGAGACGGTCCCGCTCAGTGGTTACGCCAGACAAATAATCGGACAGCTCCTCGAAATCCATCTGTTTCTGGTCGCGAAGCTTGAGGACCGCACGATTCGCGTGCGAATAGGTTAATAGAGAGTGCAAGTGCACCAGGAGAGGGTCCGTCGTCGTGTGTGTCTAACGGCGGGGAGTTCATCATCGGCGACGCTCGTGCGTAGATCGCAGAACTTACGGTGTGCCGCAGGAGAGCCGAGAACTCCAACAGCGTATTCGAGAAGTGGTTGAGCGGGTCCGTGATTCCTGATTCCAGGAATCCCAGACCCTGCACAGCGACGGCAAGGTCGTGATAATCGCCCGTGAGATCTTCTCCGGGTTCCGCACCGCCATCTCTTTCAGCCTCAGACATTCGCACACGAAAGCAAGCCCAAAGTGGGCATTGGGGAAGAAGACAGACTCACCATTAGTTCGGTTCCGCACGCGGGTCCAAAGACGCTCCGACTGCGACAAGCCTTCCTCGAACTTGTCGACCGACTCACGCATCGAAAGGAAACGTTCGTCAGGCTTGCGCACTCGAGAAAACGCGTTCAGGAGGGTATCGGAGATGGTATCAATGACGCCTGAAGCCTCAGGACCTGGCGGGTGTGCAACATGTTGATGCATGATCACATGCTGGAAACAACTTCAGCATCTAATATGAATGTGTGGTAAGCCTAACTGACCCATTCTGTCGACTCGAAGAAGGCACGAAGCAGGGTACTTCGCTGAAGAGTTGGATGCCTTGAGAGACGCTGCAGAAAGCGGTGGAGGCTTGAGAGGGGTCAACCATGACCACACACAATATACGATGAGCCTTACTCTAAGCGGCGTCGTTCCATAAACTCTGGACTAAACCTATCACCCGTGACATACTCTATAGTGAAATGTTTAGCGACCATCCTTGTTAAGTTCTGAGTGACTACACACCAAGTCTGTGCTTGTCAGGCAGAGGGGGGACGACACATGCTGGAAAGTCTCGTGCCAGATGGTCCCGTAGGAAGACAAAGTCTTGGAAACGTCTTCGCGAGGAAGGAGCCGGGGCAGAGTAAATAGGCAAGTTGGTCTTAGGATCCCTGTCAGAACGCGAGCGCGCTCAAGTAGTAGAGTCATTCACCTTAGCAGTGACTAGATACGAGACATATGCGTCTTTGGTTTCGGCGAGCTCCTTGACTGGGTCTTTCACGCTTGTAATAAGATAACCCTCCCACTTCGGGTCGTGAGGCCCTCTGTCCTCGTCGCTCTCAGAGGTATTCTGCCGGTAGCCTCTAGTAGCGGAGATGCCGGCGTCATGCGAAGGCGCGGCAGGGGTCTCCCAAGTTACGCTGTCAAAGACATCCTCGTCATCTCCGAGCATGGGGGCAGAGTGTGGGTGTTGTAGAGCCTGCTAGAGAGCTACTATGCGCAGAGACAACACGCAGACGGTGTCGGAAGCTGCGCAGGTGCCGGTGGTGGGATACCTGCGGAGAGAGCTAAAGGAGACGGTTGCGGACAACAGGCGTCAATAGCGTCCCTGTACGCACGCTTCCTCTGCCGCGATGTTGCTCCCTCACTGCCCGTGGCTCTTCCTATTCTCTGTTTCTTTTCTCTCCCTGTCTGTATCAGCCTACGAGGTCCCGGTGTCTGACAAAGACTATGACCGCCAAATATGTTCGGGAATGTGGGCGAACCAGAACACGTTCATCAACGGTATGCGTCTCGCGAGCTTACCCGCAGGGCCATGCTGAGTAGTCCACAGCCACCTTCGACAGTTCTTCGCAAGGCCAGCTGGCAATGGTCATTTACGAGTGGGGTGACATGCCATTCCTCGGGAAGGTAACATCGACAGTGAACGACATGCCTGTGAGTGATGGTTCATACTTCCGCTCGCCTCGCGTTCAACGGAAGGTGCATAGCAGAAAACATACGTCTGCACTTCTGATGCGGTTAGAGGTGGTTATTGCATCAACTCCCAGCTCGGAAGATTTATTGTAGACCTGCCGGAGAGCAAGTCGCTTAATGAGACAAGCTTCTGGTCAGCAAGAGTGAGCTTCCCCCGAAATGGAACCGCTTCCAGAATGTCGGAGTCTTCGGACGTTGCGTCCAGTGGTTTCTGGGATAACCCGGAGGGCAATCCAACCCCTCCCAAGGGAAACTACACTAGCCCTTGGCGTCGTGGTGTCGCGTCTGGTGTGCATTTAAGGCGCGACGACGCTTTGAATCCGAGCCCTTCCGGTATTTTGTCTTACACTCAGCCAATTCAATACAAAGTGCGCAAGACTGGATACTACTGTGTTGGTGCGCTGGTGTGATCATTAATGCAAGCTTATTCGTCCTGACCGCAATGCTCGAAATGCACAGCAATTGTTCCTGTCACTGTTCTCCCAAATACTGCCCGACAGGCTTCTACCGACGTTCCTTACCATCCTACTTATACTGGCACTGTATTCTTTCGCAACAAATTCGATGGCAAGCTGCCCGCAACAGACTATCCCAAAGTCAACGTAAGCTCGACTTATGCGGCAGATCAGGGTGGTATTGACTTTTCACACGCAAGTTCTACTTTGCAATGTTCATCATATATGCGGTGGTCGCATGTGGATGGTCATGGCTCTGCTACAAGAACCTCCAGGATCTCCTTCCCATCCAGGTATGCGCACCATTTTCGTATGCATTTCGTGGCTCAATACAAGGACCAGTACTACCTATCCAGCCTGCTCGGTTTCTTGATTATTGAGATGGTAGCAAACTGGGGTATGAGATGAGATGAGGTCCAGTCAAACATTACCTAACATCCGCATACAGCGTACTATCGGTATCTCAATGCACACGGAAGAGGTGCAGCATCCACGGTCTTCCTCATTGTTGGTGAGTCTAGAGTGCTGGAATGTGCGACTGCATGATTTGACGCCATTCCTAGTCGCCATTTTGGACGCCGGCAGGAATGCCCTGTCATTTTTCCTGCTACTTGTTGTCTCTCTAGGACTTAGCGTTGTGAGGGAAAACTTGGGCAAAACAATGATCAAGTGCCAAGTGCTTGCTGTTGCGCACTTCCTCTTTGGAGGTGTGTACAGTTGCGCCAGTAGCTATAGACGACATGAGCTCACCCACTTTGCGCAGTGTTGTACGCTGTTGGCATCGTCGAGCTCGAGCTTGAGTCGACTTCCGCACTCATCTTATTGCTTTTTGTGGTCCCGTTGGCTTTCACCCTCAGCGGATTCCTGCTTTGGATTCTGTACGCACTCAACGGTATGCAATACCTCGCGCTTTGGTCCCCTTCTATAATCACCTAATCTGGCTTGCAGCCACAATTACACAGTTGGCCGCTCGCAAGCAGCATTACAAGCTCTCGATGTTCAGATGGCTGCACCGTATTCTCCTGCTGACAGTCCTTGTTATTGCGATCTTCTTTGTGGTTTCATCTTTGACATTCTCAGGACGTCTCGCCGAAGGTTTGTTGTTTGCTTTGATTCAGCACCAATGTGTCTGATCGTATACAGACTACGGCGCGAAGTCATGGAAGGTACAGTGGTGGCTTCTCGATGGCTGGCTTGCGCTCTTGTATCTGGTGGATTTCGCGGCAATAGCCTGGTTGTGGCGTCCCTCGCCAAACAACAGAAGATAGGTTTCTGAATTTCCAAACTGAGCGTTCACTAACCTGTTAGATATCTACGCTGGCCATGTTCGACGAGCTTGCACAGGATCCAGATGACGCCGAGGATTACGACTTGGAAGCTCTTGAACGCCGCGGGGATGCTCAAGCAATCGTAGATGGCGACGACGATACAGCTACACTCGTTGGAACCCGAGGGAACGGCTCGATAGCAGAGGACGCGGTCGTCTTCGACATCGGAGATGAAGATGCCGATGACGATGACTCTGTCAGTGCTAAGAAGCGTCGAACAGGAGCGGACCACGCAGATGGCGAGGACCATGAGCGGGAGGGGTTGATGAAGGACGATTAAACTACACTTTCTCATCGCGCTACATTAGAACAATCATCTGTAGTATACATGCAAAACATCTGAGCGTCCGTATGAGATCTCAATCCCTGATACGCCCTGTGGACACAGTGTAAAGACGGGCTGCGATGTTCATACTTTGCAGTTCCTAGAAGAATGAAGTGTGAGTAAATGCAGACAGCTGTTCTTGACAAATGCATACCTGGAACAGCAGCTTGGCAGCATAAGGAATGTAAAGCTGTGAACACGCCGTCTTGTTTTTGCACGATCGGCACTCGAATGTTTGTTTTTTCTGCCAAAAGAATTAGGACACCGCTGTGCAACAACGAATAAGGACGACTCACGAGATTTGCGATCGCAGTGAGCCCGCAACTGTTAAAAGAACATTAAATGACAAATCAGGGCCGGACAATAAAGAGCAAATTGCTCACATGTCGCAAACATGTAACCGGTAAGCGTCACTGGCCTCGAAGAGACGCTCCTTCAGGAAGGCAGCAACACCATGCGAGATCATACAATCACGCTCCATCTCTCCGAAACGAAGACCACCGTCGCGACTACGACCCTCGACCGGCTGACGTGTGAGGATTTGAACAGGACCTCTCGCACGAGAGTGGATCTTGTCGTCCACCATGTGCTTCAGACGCTGATAGTATGTGGGACCCAAGTAGACCTGCGCCTGCAACTTGCGTCCTGTGTGTCCGTGGTACATGATCTCCAGTCCACGTGAGTGATACCCCTTCTGGCGTAGGAACTGCGATACCGATTCGACCGTCAGGTCTGTGAAGGGTGTAGCGTCACCTTCGTTTCCGATCAGTGTCGCGACCTTCGACAAGAGACACTCAACCAAATGCCCAATTGTCATACGAGATGGAATGGCGTGAGGATTAATGATGATATCAGGTGTGATGCCTTCCGCGGTGAAGGGCATGTCCTCTTGACGGTACGTGATACCAATGGTACCCTTCTGACCATGACGTGATGCGAACTTGTCGCCAATCTGGGGGACACGAGTGGATCGCACACGAATCTTGACGAACTTCTGACCCTCGGCATTTGTCGTGATCAAGACTTGGTCGATAATGCCACTTTCCGTGCTCTTCAGCGGCGTAGAAACATCCCGCTTCGTGTGCGATCGTGTGCGCTGGCCCAGCTCTTCACTGTCAGGAGGGATAGGAGCCGTCTTACCGATGATGATGTCCTCTCCGTTGACACCGGTTCCAGGCGCGATGAGCCCATCATCCTCGAGCTTGTCGTACGTCCCGTGCTTCATGCGAAGAGTGGAATCTCGCGTGGGCTTCTCGAACTCCTCGAGCTGCTGCACTCCACTCTTCTTCTCCAGATCCATGTAGCTTCGGTAGTACATGCTGCGGAACAACCCGCGGTCAATAGAACTTTGATTCATGATGACGGAATCTTCTTGATTGTATCCGCTGTAGCACAGGATAGCAACAACGGCGTTCTGACCGGCGGGAAGTTCTCGGAAGCGGAGGTACTCCATAGAGCGAGTCGTTGCCAGAGGTTTCTGGGGATAGTAGAGGATATTCGCCATCGTGTCCATCCGGACGAGGAAGTTCGTCAAGTAGATACCCATCGCTTGCTTACCCATAGCGGACTGGTAAGTATTACGAGGCGACTGGAGAACGGTTAGTCGAAGTATCAAGCCAAGCAGACCGCGGACTGACCTGATTATGATCGGGGAACGGAATGATACTAGCACATACACCCAGAATCATACTGGGGTGAATCTCGCAGTGTGTCCAGGTGTGTGCACTAGTACTGGCCTTCAGCCGCGCGGCAGGATCAAAGTCGCCGTCATTTGCATGTGGGTCCACGCCAGTGGACTGCAGCCGCGAGTTCTCGAGGTCCTCAGGTGTCATACAGATCATGACGGTCTCCTCTTCCTCGGCGTCCAAAAGCTCGATCACCCCTCCCTTCACCAGCTGATCCCACTTGTACACCTTGTCCTCGTCGTCGTGCCCATCGTTGATGTACTTAATGTGCTTCTTCGAAAGTAATAGCTGTTGGTTCTCGACGATGAACAATGGTCGGCAGACACGTCCTGCATCCGTGTAGAGGCGCAGCTCTCGCTCGCGGATGTCTCGCACGACGGACACCTCGGGGCTGATGTCGTCCTTCCGACGAAGCTTCTTGATCGTCTTGACCAAGTTTGCCGGGTCCCGATGTACACCCATCCATACTCCATTGACGAAGACTTTTGTGCATGGCGTCGCCGAGTGGGCGTTTTCTTCCAGTGATTCAAGACCCCACTCCTCCAAGAACTCAATCACAGGGGCGGATAGTGAACCGACCGATATACAAGACATGAGTGACAGATTTTTGACAAGACCACAAGCTTGTCCTTCGGGTGTCTCGGCAGGACACACCATGCCCCAGTGCGTGTTGTGCAATTGACGCGGTTTCGCAATCTTGCCTTCTCGTCCCAAGGGCGTGTTACACCGACGCAAGTGTGATAGCGTGGACGCGTATGTGTACCTGTTGAGCACTTGAGAGACACCAGCTTTGGACGCCATAGACTTCTTCTGGTCTCCCCAGTTGCCCGTAGCGAGCGAATACTTCAAGCCATTCGTGATCGTATTGTGCTTAACAGCGAGGTTCAAGTTAAATTCCTTGTGTGTCTCGACACACTTAGGTGGGGTTAGACGTGAGCACATGGTTGTGCGGACACTCAACGGAGTACACTAACCTTCTGCAGATACCGGTACACGTCCTTGGTCAACTTCCGGAAGAGCATGCGGAACAGGTTGGCAAGCAGGGGACCAGCAAGATCCAGCCTCTTTTTGCCGAAGTGGTCACGGTCGTCGAGATCTCTGCGTTCCATGGCCGCGAGCAGCAACCGATGGATCATGTAACCAAAGAAGTACGCCTTCTTTGACTCGGAACCCTCCGCCATTGAGATGTGAGGTAACATCTCCTTCTGCAAAATCTCCTGCGCGTATCGCAAACGGCGCTCACGGTTCAAGCCAGTGGTTGTACCACGGTTTCCAATGAAGTCCAAGGCGACCTAAACCAGTGTCAACGCATGTGGATTGGAGGGAGAAGCGTGAGTAATTGACTGACCTCGCGATCCTGAATTACAAAACCGTCGTCAATACATGGCTTGAGCATCTCGAGCATTTGGGCGTCTTGCATGTCGTAGCAGATATGCTCGAGAATATCGCGATCGGAAATGACACCGAGCGCACGGAAGACAACCCAGATGGGAATGTCAACCTTGATGTAGGGAATCGTCGCCTTCATGACGTTGCCCAACTACGTACCATTTAGCATATGCACAATGTTTGCTGCAAGTCAGTCAAGTCTTACCGAACGCTCCTGGTTTCGATGGTAGAGTTTGACCTGGAACTGACTGATGGTCTTTCCACCCCGTTCTACAGCACTACGGATCTCCGCAAGGAAGCTGACAGGTGATGGCTGGGCTTTGGCGAAGACGTAGACATGGTTTGTAGCCATGCGCTCTTGCGCGATCAACACTTTCTCGGAGCCGTTAATGATGAAATACCCTCCTGAGTCGAAGGGACATTCATTGAGGTCGTAAAGCTCCTCGTCGCTCAGTTCATGCAGGATGCAGAATGATGACCGGAGCATGATTGGCACCTACAGGTCGTGCAAGGCTCAGCAGCCGGGTATGAGGAGAGTACTCAGCTACGCACCTTGCCAATCCACACCTTCCTCGTATCCTCAGGATTCTCTTCCACCTCGGGCTCCCAAATCATGTCGCCTGTGAGGCTGTCTGGGTCCTCCCTCCCAATCATGATCTGTTTCTTCATCTCAATGTACAAGGGCGCTGAGTAGGTCAAATTTCGGAGCCGAGCCTCCTGCGGGAAAACAGGCACGACAGAGCCATCCGCCTCCGTCACCGTTGGTCTTGACAGATAAATCTGCCCGAACTTGATCTCATAGCGCCGATTCACGTCGCCCGCGTGTCCGGTATGCTGGTCGTTCTGATCGAGGATGAGTTCAGCATTTTCATCTACCAGCTCCTGCATAGTGTTCTGGACGAATTCGTCGAAGGAGTCGAGCTGCTGCCGAACCAGGCCCTTCTGGTCGAAAAAGCTCGAGATGACCGTCCAACAATCCTCCTGGGTGATCTCCTCGTACTCCTCCTCGTCATCCAGCCCGTATCCTGTCTCGTCATAGTACGCGCTCTGAGAAGGCTCAAAGTCTGCGGCCGATAACAGACCGTTCAGCAGCTACGACAAGAGTGCTTCAGCTGCACAAACCTTGGCTCATTTTTAAGTTCTAACCGTGGGCCGTGACCGTAGACGACGAGCAGCAAAGGTAAATATCAAGCACAGCAAAACAGCAGACAGACGGGCTAGGCAGACGGTTTCAGAGACGCGGCGAGGAGAAGTACCGACAAGAGATGGCCATGGGCGTCGCCACAGCTGTGTGTTCCGTTGGGCGCTGACCAATCTTTGCGTTTGTTTGTACTTGTTGCACAATGGCTTTGACGCTCGTAAGATCGAAGCAGCGCTCGTATGCCTTCTGCCCATTTCTTATTTGGCTCCTACTTGATTGCTTACACACATCGACCTGACAGTCATGCTTTCGCGTGAAAATCCTTTCAGAGCACAAGTGCATGTAATCAATTAATGCAACTCGACTACTGGCGGCCATCACCAAACGTTCCAGTTTGCCTTGCAGCAAATCAAACCGGAACAGCTTTGAGCAATCTGTCCATGATTTGCTTTGCGCTGCCAGCGTAGGAACCCTGGGTATGCGCGATCAACGCTTGATGTCATCTCGGTGATCATAAATATTGCTACACACCCCAAACAAGACAGTGTGGTTCAGGTAGTGATACAGCTCGTACAGGTCACCGCGTAGCTCGTATTGATCTTCTGGTTCTGACTTCGGCAGGTATTCGTGGTATGTCTCGAAAAATGACTGCGGGAAGCCTCCGAAGATCCTTGCGATTGCGAGACTGCAAGTATAAAACCTATGAGAGGACCCTTCAGGAGTATCGAACCCTCCACTTACTCGGCCTCATTATGTCCGAAATAAGATGACGGGTCGTAGATCACTGGTTTCCCTGATTTTTTGTCTGTCCCAGTATTCCCGCTCTGGTTGAAAACGGTCAACAGCCGCACTGGCAATCTAATGTATAGTGCTGCTTACCCATAAGTCGCCGTGCAGCAGGACGGGCTGCACGACAAGCTGGCCTAGGAGAGAAGGGATCACGCTGACCAATGCGTTAGGGCACCTGCAGTGCGCTTGATGATCCCGCGACGCACCGCCGACGAATATCTTCCCCTTGATTACACAGGTGCTCGTATCTACCTCTCTTCTTGAGCGAATTGAGCAAGCCGCCGATCAGCGCGTCGAAACACTTGTCCCAAGATTCAAACCAGCCATTCGCCTGTCGGGTCCGGCCACAGTACGTTGGGACATGGATCCCGAAACCGTTAGTGCTCTTGTAGGTGTGCATCTCCGTCGCCAGCCTCTCGGCGAGAACCTTAGCGGCACTATCTGTCAGGGGGCCCATGTCCCTGAACTCTGATAGGAAGTATGGCCTGCCAACGTCGCTGTCCATCTCTGCTGCATCTTTGTCGATGACGCCGCATGCTACCACGCGCGGCGCAATGCCCGGTGCCGCGACGTGCATTGCTCTCAGGGACTCCGCCTCGCCGATGTATTGTTCTGCCTCGCTGGGACTGCCTATCTTGCCGATGTAGCCTGTTCCCGAGGACGACTTGATCGGGGGCGACGTGGACTGTGTGAGCGAGGCGTCTGGCTCCTCGGTCTGCACTGCCTGCACGAAGACGCGGTGGACGTAAGAGGGCATGGTTGCTTGTCGGTAAAACCTCTGGACGAGCGATACTGGATGTCCCATGGGTGTGGGCGCCAAAATATGACGTAGCGCGTACATATCGTCGATGCGATCGAATGGTTTACGATCACCCGTCTCGATTACATGTCGCAATCACTGTCGGTTTGTCAGCGCCTCAGCGTTGGTACAAATGCTCTCAGTCGCTTTCAACCACACTCTCACCCGCTCTGTCTCCTGGTCTGTTCGCAGTGTGATACACCCTATCACGCCAAAGTTACTCTACCAGCATGGCCTCAGTACAGGAAGCGGGCCAGTTCTATCCGAGCAACGAACCTGTGATTGGTGCAACATATCCCGGGGTCAGTCCCGCATCACATAGTGCCCAAGGAGCTCTGCACCTCACGCGCGATTTCAGACTGTCTATCCCCAAAACGCCAAACTACCCAAATTGTTCCAGCCGCTGACCATTCGGGGGACAACCTTCAAGAACAGGATCTTCGTCGTGAGTAGCAAACGCTGCCCCATCGAGAGCGGTACCTTCTTGACATGGCAGCGTTCAGTCCCCGATGTGCCAGTACAGCTCGGACAACGGCCATGCGACGGACTGGCACCTGGTGCACATCGGCGTAAGTTCAGGCGCGCACTCCGTTTTAGCGTCAAGATGACAGAGTTGGTCTCACGGCAGGGATTCGCGACCCGCGGCGCCGGGGCTATCTGCATGGAAGCAACCTCTCCGGTTCCTGAAGGCCGAATCTCCCCTCAGGATGCCGTACGCCTTCCCAACCGCTCGCCCGCCTGTGTAGGCTCTGACTTCATGATGCATAGGGACTCTGGGCAGACAGCCAGATCGCCCCGCTCCAGCGTATCGTGAAGTTTGCCCATGCACACAGAACTCTGATCGGCGTGCAGCTGGGGCACGCAGGCAGGAAGGCCTCCACGCTTCCTCCTTGGGTGCACTCCGACCCGGCCCACACTCGTGTTGCAAGCTCCTGGGTCGCGCCCAAGGAAGACGGTGGATGGCCCGACGAAGGTACGATGCGACATACTCCGACGCTGAGAATTCAGTGCAATGACATCGTCGCGCGGTAGTGTACGGCCCCAGCGACATCCCATTCGCCCCGGACTATCCGACGCCGAAGGCCATGGACGAGGCGCATATGCAGTACGTCGAGGACGCCTGGCTGAAAGCCGTCGAACGCTGCAAGACCATCGGCTGTGCGCATTGCTCCCCGTTCCCGCCCCACCGCTGACCGCCCGCTGACCACCCCCCGCAGTCGACTTCATCGAGTTCCACGGCGCGCACGGGTACCTCCTGCACTCGTTCCTCTCGCCGCTGTCCAACACGCGCGCCGACGCGTACGGCGGCCAGCCGCTCGCGAACCGCATGCGCTGGCCGCTCCGCCTCATCGCGCGCGCGCGCGCCGCGTGGGACAAGCCGCTCTTCGTGCGCATCAGCGCGACAGACTGGGCGGAGGGCCCCGAGCAGGCGCCCGACGGCACCTGGACGCAGTGGGGCATCGAACAGTCCAAGGTGTTCGCCGGCGAGCTGCAGAAGCTCGGCGTCGACCTGATCGACTGCAGCACGGGCGGACTCTGGGCGCAGCAGCAGATCCCACTCGGGCCTGGCTACCAGGTAAACCCTCCTTCCCCTTCCCTGCACTTGCCCGACGCGCACAATGCTGAGAGAATGCGGCATAGGTCCCTTTCGCCGAACAGCTGAAGAAGGCCTACCCCAACCTGCCGATTGGTGCGGTGGGCTTGATCACGGAGCCCGAGCAGGCCGAGTCCTACCTCAATGAGGGCAAGGCCGATGTCGTCTTCCTCGCGCGGGAGCTCATGCGAGACCCACACTGGCCGATCCTCGCTGCACAGAAACTGGGTGTCGCTGTGAAACCAGCAAACCAATATGAGCGAGCTTGGCCTACTGTAATCACACCGAATACAGCGTAGACGGTCCGATAGACGTAACTGTATGTGTCATTAGAAGAGAAAGCCGTGAAATTGTATTATCGTGGACCGTCGATCATTTACATGTATCGCATGGATTTACCTCGCGATCGGGTGCCGTCCGAGTCAGCTGCGTGTGCATTATACTTTGTTTCGTAATGCATTCCATCTACTGATGTATGGATGAGTCCAATGTGTGTTCAATGTACAATATTGCCACCATTGCTCTATATGTTGGGTGTAAGCCTGTGCAAACACGGCTGATCAGTTCGTGCACCCATGTGCGCGCTGTCAAAACGCTCACCAGTCATACATGACCAGCTTGTCCGCGTCTATCAATGCTGAATTTGCCAGCTCCCGGGCCTCCATGTACACCCACACCTGAGAACCACAGTTCAGAGCCGGACACCAGGAATCAGATCAGATGCCGTTCGCCTCACCTTCAAGAATGCGCCCAGATTCCCCGCCGGCATGCTCGCGATCGTCTCCTGCGTCGACATCTGCCTCCCGAGCTGCCGCAAGATCGGCAGCGCGCTCTTGAACAGGTCGAGCCCGGGGTCCAGCTGGCGCCCGATGCCCTCCAGCAGCAGGATCGAGATGACCGTGTTCACAAAGTCCGCCTCCATCTTGACGTGGTGCTGGCGCACCGCGCGCAGCACCGCCGTGAGGATGTCCGAGATCTTGATCTGCCCGAGCGAGAACGTCTTGCGCTTCACGTTCAACACGATGTGCTGCATGCGCAGCGCGAACATCTCCGCGTCCACCGCGAGCTGCGGCGTGCGGCAGCGCTCCACCATCAGCGTCCCCGCGCGGTACCCGTCGAACTCGGCGACCGCGCGGAACAGGTCGAGGAAGTTCGTGCGGTTCTTGTCATTCAGCGTCGTCACGAGCCCCGCGTCGACAAAGACGATCTCGGGGACGTAGCCCGCAGCGTCGAGGGACGTGAGCTCGGCGCGCCATGCTGGCGGGTCGTCAATGAGTGTGCGGAGGTGGTCGAGGACGTGGTCAGAGGATCGCTCTGATGGAGG